CATTGCATTAGCAGAACTACATATTGCACAAAAAGAAAAATATATATTTCACTTGCAGAGCTATATTTTGTACCTGAAGAATAATGTATAGCATATAAAGAATTTATTTAAGGAAATATTTCACCATTTGCTATTTCTAAGTTCGGATGCATGCAGCCGAATATTTAAAAAAATAGAAATCTAATGAGTCTGATAGGTCATGGCACAGAGGTCAGACATGTTTATGCTGTTTGACTCAAACTCATTCTCACACAAGGATCAGACGCCTGCTGACCTACACTTTACACCTCAGCTGTTACAATCCAACATATCTAAATACTTCACACTAAAAACACTCAATCCAATCCAATAAAACAAAGACATTCAGACTCTGCAGACTCTGCAGACTCTCACTTTAGAGGTTGTCTGAATGAAATGAAATGTTTAAGTGTTGGGGGAGCCTCTCGAATAAGAGCAGCTTTGTGTTCACACGTGACGCTGGCTTCAACAGCTCTGTAATTGGTTTACTGTTTCACGCTAGAATGGACTCCTATAGTTAACCTCCAGGCAGGACGGGCAGGAAATAAACATCGAGGAACTCTCTGTCAGTGTCTCACATTACAAGCCTTATTTTACTAGGATGCAGCTAAATTCTGACTGAAAAAAATGGTTCATAGTTAAAGAGCAAAAAGCATAACTTAAAGCTTCATGTGAACACATATTTTGTTGCAGATTTTACAGTCTTCAGATTAAGACATGGGCAAAATAACCATTTTAACAGTTCATTCTGTTAAATTTGACAAGGCAGATTGTTTTGCACTAAATAATTTGTATTGTTGTGTTTGATGGTATAACTTGACAAATGCAGGATTATGTTCATGAAAGATCACAAGAGCTTCTTGTCCTTGAGGGCCACCATCACTATAGGAATTGCTGGGGTTGGAGTGTCTTTTGATTTGGACACTGGACAAAAGAGGAAATGGGGAGTTGGAGGATGATGAAGAAGAAGAGTGGTTGTTGTGTGCTAAAGTCATTTGAACTGTCTGATACAGATGCTAGAACCAGCTACCTTTCCTGGCAGGTTAATGCCACTTCATGTGTTCGGTTGTTCTGATTGGTTTTGGCGTGAAGGAACATTTTTCTGCCTCCATCAGAGGACTTTTTTTGGTTCGTAAAAGAGTTGAGGGTATTGGATATGCAATGCACAGTCGATGTTACCCATTACAATTCTAGCCATTAAGCGTTATTTTGATGAATTATATAACATATGTACTGCCCTGTTTTATGAATCGTACCCCTTTTACTGCACATTTCTCAGAAGTGGTGGCAGGATTACACTGAGTTTCATCCAAGTTTCTGTTGGTGTTTACTGAACCAGATCTATTTCTGTAGACTGTTGGCAGCAAAGACTGGAGCTGCAGTCTGTTGAATAATCAGGTGTTAAGACACTTTGTAAACCAACAAAGATGATTCAGTTGCCCTTAAAGCCTTTCCCATTACCTGGAAGTCAAAGAAAATGTCGTATTTATACGTTTTCCAGGAAGGTAGACATGCTAAATGGGCAGATAGGCTAAAAACTTCATCATTAGATCCTGAGACACCTCAGTCTGAGGTGTCAAAACTAACAAATTAATCCAAGGGGAAAACATTACATTTGGTTAATAGTCATAGTATACCCATTTTAAAGTTGTTAGAAAAAAACGTTGTGTTGGTTTTGGAGATTGACCCACTTTAAACTTAACCAATGGATCATTTTGTCACCAGTAAATAAGTTTGTGTCTAAAACTCTAGTTTCATCCATGCAGCTGAAGGTCCATCTCCATGACCTCATGAGTAAACAGACATGGCACTACATGCTGCTATCTCAAGGATGGATATTTATGCCCTTTGTCATGCCACGTTTGCAGTGGAGGCAGTATGAAAGTGTTCCAGTCTCTGATAACAAAGGTGAAATGAGGGAGGAAGGTGGTGGTCAGAGTGTTTCTGTGCACAGCTGAGTCGAGCTTTGGTTATCGCTTGATTAGACAATTCCAGGTTAGACAATAATTGGACCAATGTCCTTTCTCCAGCTTCTTGTCTCAATTGTGCATACAGGAGGTGGCAATATAGTGCCCGCTTTCTACTACTTACTACTGGGTCACCTCCAGTTGACCTACTGCGTAAAAACAAAAATAAACACGAGGTATGTTGAACAGTCAGACTAATGTTTTTTAGAGTCCAGTTTTAGTTGGCTAAGGCAATTAATCCATTTTTCTACCAACATCTTAACACACTGAGTGTAAACTTTAAGAGTCAGCAGGGCGGAACAGCTGTGTGTGTGTAAATATGGCGCCCCCACTGTGTGTTTATGAGCCATGTCTCTGCAAAATCACACACTGGGGCCTCATCCACAGGTAAGCAGACATCTTCGAAAATGGTCTTTTTCATTGCATGTTGATTTCCCCCCACGGGAAAATTAAAATGGAAAATATACTGGTCGTTCTTGGTGTTGATGTTGGTGGTGTTGGCGATGTTGCTAAACATGTTAACAGATAAGAGCTGCAACTTTTGGTAAAAAATAACTTTTTATCCCAAAATTAAGGAAAAGCACAATGCTTCATCTAAGACGTTAGCACTCAGTAGATAACGGCCGTAATCGCCCACTTGGTCAAACATACAGTGTCCTTCCATGCTGTTTTTCCATGCTAAAACACTCTATGCAAACAGGTCCGTAAGTTTTTCTTCAGTCGACATAGAATACAGATCAGGACTTACACATGGCGCATTGTTTACATTTGTAGGGCATGCAGCAAAGTAGTGGGCCAAGAGTGTATTTGGGTCTGTTCTGTACTGTAAGGTTGCTGTTCTTCATTATTCTATCATAGCATGTTTAGGAATGTATCATGCTTATGATAGTTGATGTAAACAAAGAAATGAGCTACCGACGACCACGTCTTAGACCGAAGTGGACTCTGCACTTCAGCATGATGGTAAACAGGTGGAGGTAAAACCTCAGCATGCTTCAGATTTGTCATTCTCTCACAGATGCTTTCACCTTAGAAAACACCTTCTGCTTTGGTTTGAGACCCTCTGAGTGCTCTGACAGGCTAATCAGTCCGACTCGATGCAGATTACAGCATGGTGCATGCACGCAAAAAAGATCCTTCACAATGGGTGACCTTTGCTGGACCGGAAGGAGCATAAAAGTCAAATATAATCTGATTTAAATCTTATAGGAGGCATTCAAAAAAGACAAGCATATGAGGAGTCATTAGACCAGAAGATCTGAGTCTACAGCGTAAACTCAGTGGTACTTTGTTTACATGTTAAACACAGCGACCATGTCCCTCTTTACACTAAATTGTTTGCAGGTTTCTCCAGAGCTGATACGTCACATCTCCTCCTAAGTGTTATGAAAAGGGGGAAAAAAAAGCTCCCTGGCTCAGTCACGTCTTTATCAAAAGGTCAATAACCTTCCTGTTGGCACGGCGAGATGATCTAAGACTTGTACGTCTCAAAATAAGAAAGATGACGCTTCAGGTCAGGAGCTTTTACCAGCTCCGACTGTAGCTCCAATGTCCACAACCATGCCTGACAGGTTTTAAAGGGTTACATAAGAAATTACTGTCCGGCCAGACTTAACCAAATGTTGAACCCTAATCCCTGAATGGCAGCCAATTGAGGGCTATCAAGCTTTGATTTCTGCGAAGTAGTTAAGGTCGAGGTTACAGTGTAATCTTTATTTTGAAGAGGAAGAATGAAGTCTTCAAATGTAAAGGTGTGGTGACTGTTTCTCCTCCAAAAAGGCACCAAGCTTTCTTAGTAAAAGTCAGAAACATCCAGGCTTTCACTCAGTTTCTTTTCTACTACGCTTTTCCTCCACCTAACCTTAATCCTAAACCTCACCCACACTCTGTCTGTCAGCCCAACACTGCAGAAATGCCCGCTTTAGTCTTCGTGCCTTATCAGTCCTGACATTTCCTCTCCACAGCTGACTGCAGGCTTTGGCTTGAGATCCTTGAGATAAAGAAGGATTTCACCTGCATACACACAGCACTCAACGGGCACTTTATTTATTTTTAAACCTGGGCCCTGTTTCTATAAAGGTTTTGGTGTCAAATGTACAAAAACTGCAAAAAAGCGCCATCTTGTTGTATGTATCTGGGCTGCAGAGACCAACTTGTGAAATTTAAAAACTCAACCATAAACAATTGTATTTTCTTCTAATAGCCTTAGATAAGTTTTTTTTTATCCAGTACCAAGTGATATTGCATAAAATCCCTCCAAAAACACAATTTTGTTTGACAATAAACAGCCAAAACATAGTCGCTTTAGCAGCACCAAACCTCATTGACAAAAATGGTAATTAAGCATCATTAAACATGGGTGTTGCTGATATTCATCTCCATGACCAAGTTTATGTTTGTATTGTCATGATGTGACTTTAGTGTCCTAATCGGCTGTCTTAGATTAGATTAAATTAGATCAGATAGAGCTTTATTGATCCTTCAGGGAAGGTTCCCGCAGGGAAATTAAAAGGATACAATGACTTATTTATGTTGGACTAAAGCAAAAGAAATAAAAATAGCAACTTAAAAGCACCAGCAAACAAATAACTTTCACATTTTGCAAAAGTAAAATTGACATTTTTTTGAATGATATATGGATAGTGCAACTGGAGTGTAAATTCTGGTTCAGGTTACCTTATCAAAAAGTTTCATATTGCTTCTCAAAGTGTGTCACAGCGTTACAGAAAGCTCATGCTTTTGAATTCATTAGATCAAAGAATTTCATGGTAGCCTAGTTTTAAAACTTTTCATTTTCATGTGATACACATTTTAAAAAAATAGAGATCCAAGTTTAAAATACCCAGAATGATCCTTTACAGACATCAAGACATGTCATTATCCCTTACCGTCCAAGTCTGGTCCTGTGCCGGTCAAATCCAAGCATTGCCCCGGAGAAAAATAAAAGTAAAATAGATGCAAAAGTACAAAAAATAAAGTAAAATATTTACAAAAAGTGAGTCTGAATGGTCTGAGTTAGACCATTGTGCTTTTCTTCTCTCTGAAGTCCGAGTGTGTGGGCTCGTGGTAAGTGGTGATCATGTTTGCTGTGTCCCACCGTGTCACCGGAGCTGGAGAGCTCTGCATCACCACCAGCCTGATGGGAGACTGAGTCGTGGGCTGCGGGTCTGGGGCGTACTCCTTCGTGGGATCTTTGCCCCGGCAGTCGTACATGATACAGGATATCAGGAAGACCAGGAGCAAGATAACGTAGCTGGCGATGAGGATACAAAGGTTTAAAGTGACGGGGTCGATCTCCTGGTAGTTTTCCAGAAAGCCCATGGTGTCTGCTTCATGCTGCGCGGCCCGTAGGCCCCGGAGAAGAAGCAGAAGCCTCAGAAGAAGGGGAAATTGGAGGTACCGATGGCGGCTGCAGACTGAGAATAAAGCCTGGTGACAGCAGCTTTCCTTCCCCTCCTTACACCCTCTCTGCCTCTCACCTCTCGCTTTCAGATGAGCGCCGTGGATACGTGGCTTTGTGGTATAAAAATACTTTAATCCACGCCACTCCTCCAACCTCGGACGCTGAGATCGATGGCTCCCTTTAATAACTTAAGCCTCGCTTCAACTGACCGCACAGATCCTCCGTTATATCATCTACATGCAAGTGAACATTAATTACTGTGTATATGACGTGTTTCAGTACATGTGCTTCTCACTGTGTGTGTGTGTTTGTGTGTAATCTTAATCTTGATTGTGAGTGGGGATTGACGGAAGAAGCCATCTGGCCTAATAGAAGCCGGGCCGCTGGGCTGAGAAGCCACTCAAAAAATGCATATAGTAGCTTTAATAAAACACAGAAGTAGTCCAAATCTCTACATTTATAATTCTTGTGTTTCTTTTTTTTTTTTTTTTTTATCGCACAATCTGCATAGATTCAGTCGCCCTTCCTCCTCTGAGACACTCCTCCTCTACCTCAGCCACCAGGGAATCAGAGACGGGATTATCACAGTGATCAGCAAACTCCTCGGGTGTATAATCTGTGCTGATGCATGACAAAGCACACGCCATGTGCACATGATAGTCACAGTTTGTAGACTGCAAAAAAACAAAGTCAGAAAATCAGACAAATTTAAGAAACACTTTTAAATCTCCTTCAACAGGTAAACTGAAGCTGTTATTGTGAAGTTATTGGAGGTTATAAAGGGACAGCAGAGGGCAGCAGTCAGCAGTGTTGGTGTGGGGCAGAGTAAGAAGCAACAGAGCTGGAGGTTGAACTTTGACCCAGACAAACACTTAAGGAGAGGGAGGAGGTGCAGCGGAGCAGGATGAAGAAATAACTCAAAGTGACAAACTGACATGGAAAATAAAGGCTGTGAGTGAGTGTTTCAGGACCCTTATTGCATATTTTACACCATGCAAACTGAATCTGAGCAGAATTAGAGACAAAAAACTGAAATTTACTGCAACAGATTCATAAAACATCTATGGAATGGAGGTTTGAGTCTGCTTGTGACCAAATTTTTGCCGAAAGACTGATATCTCCACATGTTTTTATTTATCTTGAACACTTAATCTCTATTTTGAATGTTTACCTTTTTGATTTTGGTTCAAACTGTCTAGATTATGATGTTTCCATTTTATTGTTTGTACATTTACTGTCAGTCCCTACCCTCATTTTTTATGCATGCCATGCTTTGCCAGCCTATTTTGTTTCTTTCTTGCTTGGGTTTGCTGTAAAATATTTTGAACTGCATTTGATTCGAACAAATTGTGCTTTGAAATAAAGTTTGGATTGTCAACTTCGAGCTGACACTCTGGTTCCACTCGGTGCCCCCTACAGGGCCGGAGTCTCTCAATTTAGATGGACATCCAGGATAAGATATGCACCTGGCACCTTTCATTAGCAATATGTTTGTGTTGTTGGTTTTTTATGATATCTGCAGTTCTTGATGAAAATCTTCTGGTCAGTAGCAGCATGTGTGCAGTTGCAGGACACTGCGGAAAATCTCTTTAAAGGGATATTCTGGCGTAAAATCAATTATGGTCAAACACAGGTGAATTTTGCAGACTGCTTGCTTCTGTGGTTAAACCAACTTAAGTTGCGACCACACTATAGCATAAAAATGAGAAGTTGAATAAATTGTTGAAATCTTTTGTAGGTCAGATTGTTGTTGGTGGATCTGCAAATAGGTTACTACAGATCTAACTGTATCAGTCCTGGTGTTTCGTGTGCGTGCATGTGTGTATTAAAGTGAGGTTGGGCTGCAGATGTACATTCACTCACAGAATGACCTCACTCATTCCTGTATATTAACACTGTAATCCCTCTGTGTTTGAGAGAGAAAAAGGCTCGACCCTGATCCTCCCTGACCCTCGCCTGGCTTCTGCAGCCTCAGGATGAGAGCCCCCTCCGTCAACTCAACATACAGCAACCTTTGACCTCTGGAGAATCATCTGTCAGAGAGAAATGATGACCTTTGTGTGTCACCGATAATCTGTGAGTCAACATCTGGACGGCTACATCGCTCCGATTCAGCACATGTCGCTGTTTGTCCGCGATAAGTGATCGCCTTTCAGGTAAAACAGGGATATTGGAAAAGGATTTATGGAATATATATCGGGATTATCGACCTTTAGAGGGAGATACATTTGAAGCTCAACTTTCCCAAAATAGTTCTTTATTTTTCAAAATGCTGGATAAAGAACTTGAGTTAACTGCTTTGTCAAAACTCCACCCATGTCAAACAAAATGTAAAAAAAATAAAACAAAAAAACGTGCTCTTTTAAATCAAAATTGATTTTTGCCACTAAAACAAAACCCAGCTATCAAATGTCCTAGGTGCATCAAAAGCTAAATCAAACCAAGCCAAAGAAATGTGTGTGAGATGATGTCAAAATGAAGGTACCACATAAAAAGGTAAAGCTGGGGTGGAGGTGGGTTTTTTGTGCAAATAAAAAATGAAAAAAAAAAAAAGGATAAAAAGTGCTCAACTCTTGCTTATCTCACTTTCCCAAGGTTAGGGTCCCTGGTTTTAGGAGGGTGGCGGTCCTAAACTTTGGAAAATGAGAACCAATAAATAGAGGGACACCATCTCAATGTGGCGGACGTTCGAAAAGTCTTGAAACGCTGGCTTTTAAATTTACTTTCCTCATTTACTATTTTTCTGTGACTTTAAACACCAGATGAGGGATAAAAAAAGTTCTGCATTGATCGTGTGACGTAGGACAACCTTTTCAAACCGAGTACTAACTTGGGGCAACTTGAGGCAACATCCAACGTGCTCTTCTTTAACGTTGACGCCTCAATCTACATTTTGAATCTCAAAACAAGCTTGGATGTGTTTTCCTTAATCGAATTAGCAAATATTTCTCGTGACTTGGGGACACTAGATCTTTTTCAGGATGAATGAGGCCCTTAGGGGCTGCAGGTCAGCTGCTGCTTTGCCTGATTCAAGTCTTTCTATGTTTTCTGTGTACATTTTTGTTTACCAGCTTTGAGTATTTGCAAAATTACAGCTGAAAGTAAAAATAAAAATGACAACAAATATTCTGATTGCTGTTATAAATCACATTTTAGAAGGTGCAAGAAATCTTCAATAAAAATTAAAATGGTGTGAGGGCTGTTTTAGAGCCAAACAATGAAAGCCTCAACTCGCCCCATAAACTCCTCATTCTTTACCCGTGCAAAAAATCCAGATATATCATTGATTTGTGAAAGATTTCCTAAATGTGGCTCCACAGTGACCTTCTTAATTTCCAATTTTCATAGATTCAGCCCCACCACATGGTTCAGTTTACATGCATAATATTTGCTATAGGCTTATGTCTCACATCAACACCTACTAAAGGTCCTTTTGAACCCGTACACTGAACCCATCAGGAAATACAACATTTTAAATAAAGTTTTTGATTGCTCGATTTTCAGGGTGCAAACTTGTACTCCAGCTTTTGTCTGATGAACTCAAACTGATGATTTAAAGTTATCTAAGCATTTGGGTTGGTGATAGTCGAGCAGTTCAGACACACACACACCTGCCCTGTCCACTATTTCTCAACTACAATCATCGCGCCATCCTATGGATATACATGGTACTAACTTAAATATACCGCATCTGATCTGTGTCAAATTTCACATGAATAATGATGATCACAGACAGAACTCAAATTAACAGTGCCACCTATTGGACAAAAGTGGTATACCCCAATCAACGGTCCTGTTAGTGTAAGTGTGAACAGATCTGCTCATGTTGCCCTTACGCCTCCTCCTGTGTTAGGGTTTGCACTGACCCGTTTTTCTTTTTAAATGCTTAAAAAAAAAAACACTTAAATTAGCTTTTTCGCATCAAGACTTATTGACTTTGTCCGGAACCTCTATTTCAACAAAATGAAAAGTAAAAAAAAAAAATTGACTAAATTATGAAATGCTCATTAAAATTATGGCACTTGTCGTGTGAGGGTCGCTGTTGACCCAGTTAGATTAATATCTAATAATTAGAGCAAAATTTGAAATCATAAGTGCACTGTCAGGCACCACATTGACTGTCAGATCCTCTTCCAATCATGTAAGATTTAGGAAATTCTCATTTTGCCATTTTTTCCCTGCACAAAAAACAATGTTGGGCATGTCCAGACATGTGAGATCAATTCAGTATAGATGTCTGTGTGAGGGGTATACTGACAAAGAAAGGCCCAGAGGACCACAACAAAAACTATTATAAGCAATTTTTTCATGGATAATGAAGCCGAACAAGGTAACCTAGAGATGAGAACAAAATTGGATGATAGAGATTTTTTTTTGTGTAATTCACAGCTGATTTAAAACACGGTTTGAAACCGACCCTTAACAAAGTGGACGTGTAGTTAAAGCTGACACAGGAGGAAGGTTACACTCAGAAACTCTAAATTTTTTCCAGTGCATAAGGGCTTTTAATTCATTTCAAGTTACTGAAATTCAAACTTTATCTCAGTCAAAGGACTCTGCACAGTTTTGACCTGGACTGTCAGTTTCCAGAAATGATTTAGAACTCTAAAAACAGCCATGAGCCGGAGGAAGAGCAGTGTTTCTGTCCTAGGGATGTTTGTGTTGTGGTGGTCTCTGGAACGATTAGCTCAGAGGATGTAACAGGTTTGTCTCCGTATGTTTGTCTCTGTGTACTCCAGGCCTTTGGGTGGAGTTTCTCGTGCTCATATCTTGGAGAAAAATCTCTCTGAGCGCCAGACTCTGGTGCCAGGCAGTCCAGCCGCCTCGAAGGGACCTGAAGACAGACAGGGAGGAGAGATGGAGGAGGAGGAGGAGGAGGAGGTGGTGTTGATAAATCCAGCAGGGCTCAGTGAGGGTCCTTTTTACATTCTTTGTGTCTCTCAGGCGTGAAGCAGCAACAGGCTGTTTGTTCATTTTCACAGTTTGAGGTTGAGTGTCCCGCTGAAAGAGCAGACATCCTGACCTCACCTTCACTCTGAAACCATCAACCATCCAAAAGGTAATAATGAGGAGGCAGAAATATGTTCCCAGAACAGGAAAACACCGGGGATTGGAAATTTTTCAAGTTGTTTTTCATTCTGTGCTTGGAAAATCCTGCAATTTAGTTACGACAAGCACAGGAGTTGAACAACACTGACTGTAAAAACATGCAAAGTGAAAAAGAGCTTTTTGCACATAAACCCACTCAGTACAGAAAAACACACATTAAAATATTTTTTTTCTCAGTCATGTTGTTTTTTTAAGTTGCTATACATAATTTTCTTCACAATATAGATTCATTTTAAATCAGTGCTTTTTAATCTTAACATTTATGCAATTTGAGCAACTTAAATTAAAACCAAAACAATGGGAATAGAGAGGGTTAAGTGTGATTTAGGTGTTTAGATAACAGTCAAACACCGGTCAAGATATAAAAGTCCCTTCATAGGTCTTCGTCAAATTTTTAAAGGAACAGAAAGATAGCAGAAGTTGTCACAATTCATCAAAATTTCAACTCTGTCAACCATGAACCCATTTTTTTTAACTGCTTATCCCTTCACTTTATTTTAAAATGACAGGGGTTAGCATTAATGTTAGCATTGAAAATGAAAGTTGTTGAAAATCTTGCAGGTCTGCCACAACCCAAGTCCAGTCAAAGATTTAACCCAAATGTGTTATATCTGTAAAGATCCATCGATTACTGCAAATCTACAGAGGCTGAATGATCTTTCTCAAATAGTCTGTGATCCGTCTTACCATGTCAGGGTCTGCAGGGTTTGGATCTGTGTTCTCTCATAGGTAAACATGGTATTCCTTCAGGGTTGCACCAACTCCAGCAATGCAAATTTGTCAGTGGCTCACTGGTATCATGTAGTGGAGAAAGGTTTCATACTCTTTCACAAATTCTCTGCCCTCCTTGACATATCATTATATGATACAGACCTGTCAACAGTCAGAAAATGTTAATATTGCAAGAATAAGGATGCAATAACCATTTTCCAAATCCAGCTTGAATTTAATACAAAGAAAAATAACGTTATTTTCAATTGATGGAGATAAATGGGCATGTGCCAGATAATGACTGGTTAAATGTGAGTGTTTTCTGTCAGATTCATGAATGTCTGTCCAAAAGGATGTAAGTATATTTAAAATGAAGAGTCAGAAAACTGTTTTTTTTTCTGTTTCCATCAATAACCAAAGGATGACTTTGGCGTCCATTATTTGGTGACAGAGGAATGTTAAACAAAATGTTTAGCCTCTTTGAAAGTCAGGACCCCTGCTTGAATCTTTGCTTCAGTGAAACCATACTAAGGTTGATTAAGCACCACTGTCACATTCAGTAAGAAAAACAGAAACCATCAGAAAAGTCCTTAGTCACAGTTACACAACAAAATGTTTCATAATGTTTCTGGTTTCATCTTTTGTTGTTCTTTCTAACTGGAACAGATCCCGTCTCCCTCACTGGGCCGGAGGGGGATATTGAGTTTGTTCTGTGGGTCAAAGGTCACTGAGGGGAGGGGCGAGATGTGGATCCTGCATCTCCTGGTTGTTTCTTCAGAGATATTCCATGAGGTCAGAGATGAGGTGATGTTACACAACCGGGAGACAGCTGAGCCAGAGGAGCTCCTGCTGACCTGCTGATGGACGCTCAAAATCTGAACTGTAAGCAAGAGACGAATCATGAATGATCTGAATTTATATGATGCTATTTTGAAACATGTAATTCACCAAAAACAGGGAAAATGTGTCTTTTTCTATTTCAGAGGTACGCTTCAGGCACCAAAACTGCAATTCTCTAAGTGACCACTGGAGAGTGTCTCTGTAAGGGACTCAATCTACATAGATCTACATTAAAAAAGGCCCTCTAAATGCCCTTTCAGTGGATAAAATGTCAACAAAGTGCTCTCTGGATTTCTTTTCATGGATAAATGTAAGTAAAGTGTCCTCTAGCTACCCTTCAAGAGGATAACATATAAACGAAGTGCACATTGGATGCCCTACAGTAAAGTAAATTGAAACAGAACCTTCTGAATGTGGTTTACAGTGGATAAAATTGAGACACTGTCCCTTGAATACCCTCCCAAAGGAAAACTGTAAACAAAGTGCCTGTTAGATGCCTTTTCAATGGTTAAATGTAAATAAAGTGCCTGTTAGATGCTCCCTCCAGTGGATAAAGTGTATATAAAGTACCCTCTGGATGTCTTCCCAGTGCTTCAATTAGAAAGAAATGCCCTCAAGTGCCCTCTTGTAAATAAAATACCTTCTGGGTACCCCACATTTGATAAATGTTGAGTCCCCTTTGGATGCCCTTGTAGTGGATTAATGTAAACCACATTCCCCCAGATGTCTTTGCAGTTGTTAAAAGTTTAAAAAAAGTTTTACTGAGTGCTTTTACAACAGATAAAATATAAACAGTGTCTTAATGGTGCTTCTAAACATAAACAAAGCACCCTCTCTGTTTGAGTTTTATATCTATTTTTAGTTTTATCATCTCTGTTTGGTTGTGTTGAAAAGCTTATATCTCAAGTTTAATACTTTGGTCTGTTATCATCCACAGCAGGACTCTTTTTTACATTTTTTGACCCTGGTCCCTCAAACAGCATGAGTTCACCACATCACCCTCGTGTTCACGTGGTGTTTCTTTCTACCCTTCGGCCCTTCATGGTTCAGTGAGAGTCTGAGTGACAGGCTGCGGGATGGTTTTTTGGTCCTTGTGGAGAGGAAACCCTGAGCTCTAGGAGGAGCCGGTTCCCACACCCAGAAGAAGAGACGCTCTAACACAAACAGTGCGGAACATTCAGGAAGGAAAGGGCTCTCTTTGGGCCGTTATCAGATCTACAAGACCCTCGACCCCGTCCGTCACCCACAGTTGTCTGACAGCTGAGGCCTCGCCCTCCTCTTTCTCTGCGCCTACCTCCCAATCACTGCCTCTTTTATCTTTGTCTTCCTCACCTTCTTCTCTCTCTGTTTTCCTATTTTAGTCTTCCTCCTTAGTCTCCCTCTCTCTCTCCTTTTTTTACCCTTACCTATTCAACATCTTATTGTGTCTTTCTCCTTCTCCATCCCTTTCATCTTCCCCTTCTTCTCAATTTTGAACAAAGCAAAAGAAGTGTATTATGAGCAAAGATCCATGATTAACTTTTTAAAACTCTAAGGTTACTTGAGTGTCATCACTCATAACCAACACACATGAGAAGTGCAACAATCTTTACTTTGACTAACCTGATTGTGACTTTTGGTGAGGCCATAACTCGGCGACCTGAGGTCAAAACCCAGATTGTAAACATGCGCTTCATATCCGTACAATTACATGCAGTCTTAGGGAGCTTAGGACATGCACATGCTGTTTGCATTAGCATAACGAATGCTGCAGCTGCCACTGATGTCAGCTTTGTATTCCTCTTGGAGATGCATGCAGTGTCTGGGGTTTAAAATCTACTGTTGTGCAGAAAAACCAAAGATGCATGCACTTTGTGGAGTTTAAACTCAAACTCCCAAAGTCTATCCAGTCTGTAAATCTTCTGCAACGATGATGTCTTGGAATTGCCTTAGTGCAACAGACAGTAAGGTTGCAATTAAGTTTCTTTCTTTGTGCATGCATTTCCCTTTCTGCCGAAATGTAAACCTCGCTGATTGATGACATATGTTGTGTCTCCCCCAGCTGTGTGTCAGTGTAAGCGTCTCTCTGCTTGTTGTGCCGTATTTCACATTCACACCCAGTCTGAACCAGCAGGGAGCTGTTAAACCCTCTCTGCACCATTGTCTCGTGTACGTCATCACAGCGGCCTGTTCGCTCCTTCCCAGCGCAGAGGAATGTCCACGGCTGATAAATCCACAGATCCCATCACAACAAGCCCCACCCCCTCAACATGCCTGTTTACACTCAGACTCAGGGGGATAAAGGGGGCGCTGGTTCCCTGGTTGACAGGGATACAGGGCGGTGATCTGTTGCTTTATGATTGCAGTTAATCTGGTTTTTATCACCGGGATAGTGTTTTCACATTACTGCAACAAGTGAAATACTGCAAAAACCCAAATGTTAAAGCTCTGACCTGCACGTCACATGCACAAGAGAGTCGTTTGTCAAGTTTAGATTCCCAACAATCGGATACAAAAGACAATAAACATTAAAGACGACTAAAGCTGACCATTTTTCTTGTCCGCTGCCAGGAAAACAACAGTTTCATGCATGTAGGAGCTGTGTGAAACAAATCAAAAGTGACCAAACTGGAACTCCTGAAAAGTGCAAATGCTGTTGCATTAACCAGGAATCCTGGGAAAATGGTGAATAATCAAAATTACCAGGTAGATTCGCTTTTACAATATGAACTCAAAATCTGATTTGGATTGCAATAAGATCCAATAACAAAAATCCAATCAGAAATAGGAAAAATCACACATTTGTTTGAATTACAATTAAGGGCTGATACAGATACTGAAATGGAAAAACACCAACACCTGAAGGATGAGTTTAGAATACTAAAGATTGACAGATTGACCACTACTCTTTGAATGTGAATCTGGTCATGATATGTTCTGTTCATTTATTTTCTCCCTGGTTTTGTTATTTGTGTGTATTTTCTTTGTGTTTTTTCTAGTGTTTCTGTTCCCTATTGTTCCTGTGATCTTGTCTTATGAGTTTTCAGTTTGTGTTCGACCCTGCTTCCATCATGTTCTCAGTGTTATTCTTTAGATCAATTCTCAGGCCCCGTTTATACGTACCTGGTTATTTTTTAAAACTGCATCATTTGCACCCTTCCATTAGACGCAAACAGAGAATTCGCCCCTGAAAACGATGCTTTTTAAAAACTCCGGCCAGAGTGGAGATTTTGGAAAACTCTGTTTGCATGTTTGCATGTAAATAGAGAAGAACTGAGATTTAGGTAGCTGACGGCAGATATTGCGCAGGAAAGAGGGAAGGAACATTGTTGTTGTTGCTGCTATCTGGGATTCTGATTGGCTCCGCCTCCTTTACCTCTGATTGGCTAGAAAAGCTGGAAACGTCATCACATGCTCAGGCCAAATGTGGGCTGTCGGCTCTGGATATCGAACAGAACATTTTAAAACATTATTGCCATAATGAATCTCCTAACCCTTAGCCTAACCCTAACAGATGATGACGTTTCACAGCCATAAGGAATAACCAATGAGAGCCCAGCACTTCTAGCTAATCAGAGGCGAAGGAGGGCGGGACCCTTCCCTACCATTATACAAAAAAAACACAGGTTAGTTCAAATGAAAACTTTACTGAAAGAATAGTGGTGTGCACACAGTTTTTTTTTGTTTAGTAAACGAAGAGGGTGAAATGTCAGTTTATGAAAATAGCCAGACAGGTGTAAATGTAGTTTCAGTGTTTCCTGTTTTATTTTGTAGTAGTTGATTCCTTGTGTTTCCAGCCTTGTTTCACTTCCCTAGTTTTCCCTCCTCTGTTAATCACTAACGAGTTTCACCTGTGTCTCATTAGCCTCACCTGTTGCTCGTTTCCCGGTGTGTATATAGTCTCCGTCTTCCCCTCTGTTCTTGTTGGTTCATTGTTTATTGATGTATATTTGTTGGTGTGTGCTCATGCTTGTGTCCCCAGTTGCTCCCAGTGATTTTGCAGCAGTGACTTTTTTGTGGATTTTGCCTTTTGGATTTTTCTCTTTTTGTTGCTTTTTTATTTTATTCTTTTTTTTGTTTAACTCCAGACCGTTACAAATCTAAAACACTTAAAGTGTGCCTGCTGACTGGTTATATAGCAGGCGTCATTAAATCAGCCTACTCCATGTTAACAGATGGGACATGGGTCAAACTATAAAATCAAATTACATGTCAAATTAATTTTCTCAAACTTATATACATATATTTTTCATTAAGGCTAGCTTATATTGTGTTGACTTTGTACCCAAGAGATCCTTTTTATGACAAGTTTAGTGTGCAATAAAAAGTCGGGATAGTAGTCACCAGAATAACCTTTGACATTTTGAGTGAATTATAAGTATTTTTATTATTGTGGGCCAAAAATACAGTGCCATCAGCCAGGGGTGCAGCTGTGGTCACTGCCAAAGTTAACTTCTAGGAGACGGGGCTGTGTGATTGGATCAAGAAGATGAGTTATACTGTTGGGTACAAACGGAGCCAAAGAAATCATTTTCCACAAACATCACTGAACCCTGCTGATTGGATTTGTTTGAAGGCAGAGGCTTTATTTCATAAAGAAAGCAGAGCTACATGTTGTAACTGAGACTTTGTTGTAAACAGATGCTGGGCTGTTACATGCTGTTCCTCATCAGATACAGGAGTATGGACTTTTGAAAAGAGTTGGACTGCAGATCTGAGAGTATAAGGTTTACATCAAGGTTATTCATATGGTTTTCAGAGAGAGTTCAGAGTTTATGTGCCTCGGACAGGAAAGTTTGAGCTTCACAGAGTCACTCGGCTGCTCAACAGAAAAGGAAACTGATTTCTGTGAAGAAGCCACTTCCCATGACATCATTGTGTTTGTTAAATGACCTCCACGGGCACGTCAGACACACCTTCTCATTTCCTCCCCGAGTGTTCAAATTATTTACTCAATTTACAGACAGGGGGGAAATGGTTTATGGTATCAGAGACTATCCCTGAAACACCCAGTTGGACTCTTGAAAGAAACAAAAACACTTTTTTTAATTAAAGAGAGGAGGAACTAAAGGTTTGAGGTTTATGAAAGTCGCCTGAGTCTTATTATTTTTTCTGTAAACATTTTCTTTTACTTTGTTCCAAAACCAACCCCTCTGTTCTTGAACTAATCTGGAACCATTTTAATCTTTTTGAAGGCAAAATTTAATTTCTTTCTGAAGTTTTTGTTGACCAAGTCAGGACTGCTGGCAGACTAGTTTAGCAGCAGGACTCTTCTACTACAGAGCCATGCAGGATGTAGTTTGTCATTGTCTGGCTAAAATATTGTCTGACACATTGTCTGACAATTTACGCTCATTACTCTGAAACTGTTGAACTATTTGCTCACACAGTCATTAACAGAGGGATGAACTTTTCCCTTTCGAGAGACTCAGCCTCCCTGAATGTCTTGTTTTCACCCATTCATCTTACCTACCTGTTGTGAACTACCATCATTAGTTGGGAGATGACACTCCAGCTGTTTCTTTTAGCATTGACAAACTTTTTTCCTGTTTGATTTTTCCTCTCACAACTTTTTGAATTGAGACAAAAAATGACTCACAAACCATCAAAATCTGTTTCTGTCAGATCTATTGGATTAGATTTTATCATTTCAGGAAATCTGAGCGCTGATTGGGTTTCATGTCACAGCTTCAAAGCGCTTTGAGTCTCAGATTGTATCATTTAATCTGAAACAGTTCGTTGCACTTTCTGGCAAATTTCTGATTGTAGGAGTAAATAAATCACAGTGAGGTTACTGATCAGCCGGCACCTGTTTTTTTCCAACCATATGGACTACTTTTACTGCAGATGCCAAACCCTCTGATTGGTCGATTCAACTCGGATGACAAATGAACGGCAAGCAAAAACCAGAACAGTTCCCACGCTTAAAATCCAGACCTCTGAGTTCCACGTTTTTATGCGCAATCTGTACTTACAATACAGAATGAACAGATTAAAAATCTGCTTTTTCCACTGAACTCACTCATGACTTGCAGTCATCATCCTCTGCAGGTCATGAGTGACTCAGTTTGACCGTCTGATCGTCATATGTGACACAGTGACATACTTTCACCAGATGTTCTCTGAGAAGTCAAAGGGACATCCACAAAGTCAGAGAAACTCTCTGCAAAACAAACAGATTTGAAGTCAAATTATTATTCCTACTTAACAGTCTTGAACAGATTTTCACAGGTGCACGTCGTCCGTTTCCAGCTCCTCATCAGTCTTGCAAACCGGGAGGATTACAAGAAGCATATGACGCATAACCATGTATGCAATCTTCCCGACTTTTGCAACACATGTGCGTCAGAGGAGGCGAAACCAATCGCAACCTAGAGAAAAGACAAACATCGGGCCTGTGGAGCAGGAAAAAAAAAAAACTAACAACTGGTGGTGATTTCTCCTCACACATGTGGACGTAATCATTCTGGTTTGATGAGACTGACAGCTGGGTGTTAACTTTCTTTTTTCCATGTTTTAAACTTCGCTTCTTTTTTCTAAAGCTGCTGCCTGTGAAGTTTCAACTGTAGAAAGATGATTCAGATGTGGTGTAGAAATTAATAAAACTGTTAACAAGAAGAGTTTCACACAATCTCTCCAACTTTTGCAACATATGTGCATCAAAAACTTACTTTTGTGTCTCTAAACAAATAAAATCCCTTTCACCTGGCACACAGATATGTTAACAGATGGTTAAAATATGTTTTGAAGAGTCTGTTCTCTACAGTCCTCCGCTTTTAAAGTTGAAAATGTAACAAAGGCCAATTTTCCAACAATACAACACCCTTTGGCTAGACAGGTTGCTATAGAAACATTGACACTGTACACTTATGGTAGCATAAGGGCTGGTAGCTTTGCTATGTCCCACTGCGCAATGCGACGTCAAAATGACATCTATTTAATGTATTTTTTCGTCGATGAGGTACAAATGTGGATGTCATTTCAACATCTATAAGAGGTCCAATAATGACGTCTAAATCTTGGATCTGTTTTGCCCATTGTGCCGACGTCTAGATTTGGTCTTCAGATGGTGTCCAAATTCTAAACTTCAGAGCGACTAAAAAAGGTCCAATTTGGACGCCGAAATTTCTAACCTATTTTGCACGTCACACTGACGTCTAGATGTGGTCTTTGATGGACTGACCCAATACTGACTTGATCTGCACGTCTCTTCAACAGCCGATGTTTGCTGGGGTTAACATGAAGGATGCAAACTCATTGTAATCTTCATAATCAATATTTGGAAGTATTAACCATCGATTATAGAGAAAGAAAGTGCATTTTTTTCTTTCTGTCATATTTCCATGGGACCATAATGGATTTGACTGACAGTAGTTCAAAGCAACACAATATACAGAATGCATTGACACGCTGAATATCAATGTGCTAAACAGGTTTATAAAAGCAATCTCTGCAGACGAGGCTCAAACTACTAAATGTTGAACTGCTGCTTCAGAAGAGTCAGTCAGACTCGGTGTTCTGGTTTCCTCATGCTTGTTCTTCTTGAAAAAATGAGCAAAAAGACTTGGCGCAGTGCTGCAGATCCTGCTTTAGCATCTCCACTGTGCGCATCACCTTTGGCTGGTTGGTTTGTGCGAGGAGTTCTTTCAAACCTCAAACACCAACCTGAGAGGTCAATATTATTATAGACACACTGTTTATGTCTGCCCTGTAGAAACAAACTACTAAATGTGAAATTACTGCAATAACAGAACTGAACAGAAAAATATTTCAGATTTGCAGTGTTTGTTTAGTTTTCTGCTTGTTTGTTCTGATAAAAAGATTTGGAGTCAGTTTGGGTCGCAACCAAGTCACAATTAGTCCAGCTGCAGAAAATTCCCTCAGACTGCTCTGACATCGCCGGCATAGTGACATGCCAGTTTTTCCAGTCTGGGAGATCTCTCTGCATTTTCTGTTCGAAGTGGCAGCTGTTGTGTTTTACTCCCCCCAAAAAGAGCTCACAGAGACTGCTTGATTTGGCTTGAAACATGCTTTAAACATATTACACCACCCTAATAGCTCAACATAATCTGACCTGATTTTCTGTCTGCCAGATAGAAAAACAACTAAAAACAAATGTGTTCAACTATATTCTTTGATTCATTGTTTGTATCCCATGTTCAGATGGAGCCTTGAGTCCTTTCTGTGGTCATGTATTACAGTTGACTCTTTGGTCCTCCTTAAATGGGATCAACAGTAAAAGAAGGGAGGATCTTTATTAGGTGGTGGAGCAAGAACTAATGGTGCCTCTGGGACTTTGGTAAGCCAACTCCTCAGACACTCCAAGAACTGCTGGCAGCACATGAAGCAATCAGAGAAACAGCATTTCCTGCGAAGAAGTTGAATTCCCATCACTGCTCCTGACTCTCTTGAGGCTAGGCGAAGAAATGAATCAATATCGAGGAACAAATGTAATTGCAGAACTGTAAATTTGTGTTCCCGGTTGGACAGATACCTCACCAACCAAATCTTCAGAAAACTTCACTGTCTCTGATAAGAGAGTACCTCTACCAATTCCTTAAGCTGCGTCACCCCGCTGCGATAATGGACTGGCCGGAGGTCTCCGTACAAACAAGTGGCTACTGGAAGGGAGTGGATGAGTTGTGTTTAGTCTTTTTGCTAAAGAAATCAGGCAAAGTTAAAAAGATGTTTGGTGGCTAGTACTATGGCTGGGACCTAATATATGTACTGTTGATGAAGTTAGGTGCTGTTCTGGGCATTATTTGTGGCTATGGAGTGGTGTTTTGGTTGAGCGTGTGGCTCCGGGGACCACTGTGTATTGCTATCGTGCGGTCGTTACTAAAGTTGGTGTAACTAGAAAAGCAAGCGGTCAGCAACATTCATCACAGCACTAGCCACCAGATATCTTTTTAGCTTTGCCTGGTTTCTTTAGCAAAGAGGCCAAACACAACTTGCCCACTCTCTTTAAGCAGCTGCTTGTTTGTGGGGGAGCCCTGACGAGTCGATCACCCAGTGCAGCGGAAAATTTATGATTATTACTTAATGGAAATGCAATCCGACCAAGACGCCAAGGCAGAAGAACTACCGCATCTGCAGTGCACATACAAGATACACAAGGACTCTTATTTGCATTTCCATTAGGTAATAATCATAAATGTTCTTCCTTGAGCTGTGAAACTCCACTGCACTCAGTGATCGACTCATCAGGGTTCCCCCACAAACAAGCGGCTGCTGGAGGCTAGTGGGTGAGTTGTGTTTAGTCTCTTTGCTAAAGAAATCAGGCAAGAAATCAGACCCTATATGTACTGTTGATGAAGTTAGCTGCTGTTCTGAGCATTATTTGTGGCTATAGAGTGGATTTTTGGTTGAGCGCGTGGCTCCTGAGACAACTGTGTATTGGTATCCTGCGGTCGCTACTAAGGTTGGTATAACTAGAGAAGCAAGCGGTCAGCTACATTCACCTCTTGACGGGTGTCTAACTCTGTGTTGTGGTGTGTTTGACCTCAACTTAATTTTACGCCGGAAAATCCCTTAAACTGTTTTCGCTTTATAAAGAAAATCCCTCTGGTCGGTTGATTTGCAGAAATAAACTCATTTTGTTGAAATCATGAGATTGAAATCACTCATTCACCAGTTAATGCATTGGCCATGGGTGTTGACTGTTAAGCTGTGATAAATTGGCATTTTCCAACTCCTCGCTCCGCTCCAGCTCCTCTTTCACAGTGTCTATCACAGAAACTGTAAGTTTTCTCCACCATCCCTATCTTTCTCTTCCTTTTACTCTTTATTTTCAAATTTCACAAACCTTTCCTAAATTCACTCCTTAATTTTCCTACCTAATCTCTTGATGCACGCTTACTTCTAAGTCAATTGTACAACTCATGAGAATCTTAGTTTTTCTTTGTGACTTGAGTGACCTTGTATTTCTCAGTCTTGGATGGTAGTCTCTTCTGTTTATTGATAAACCAACCCAACAGCGTGGCTCTCAGTGGAATGACAACCACGTGAGGCAGAAAAAGTGACGCACGCAGCCCCTGCAGGAGGTGCCAGCAGTGTGTAAAGAGGCTAAAGACGCTGGCGCAGAGAGCACCTGTCAAACTTCATATCAAGTCACCCGTTTTTCCAGCTCCAGTCTGCCTCCCTCTAACCTGAGACGCAGGCAGGAGACGCCTCGAGGTGTCATATGACCCATAAAGTGTTACCCATCTGATCCCGGCCTGTGGCTGATGGCGTGTGTGAGGGTGATCTCCCAAAAGTGTGTTGCAGGGTCTCCTCTGACGCAAAGAAAACCATTTAGTTGTAGTGTCTGGTGTCACATAGCAACGCAAATGCTGCCTATAAATACACTTCCACGTCCGGACTATTTTAAACCCGACAGGGTCAAACAAGAGAGTTCAACTTCCTTTAGCATGGAGAATTTATATCCTGAAATGTTTAAATACAGGAGAAATCAGCTGGTGACTGTTTAGACTGTAAATTATGTGAACCTGAAGAGGTGTGGTCAGAGAAACATCCAGATCGGGAACAAACTGGAATAAAGAGTTGAAGCATCATATCGACTGAACTGCACACCCCTCAAAAACCCATATTTTCATCCCCTCCACACTTATTTTTTAACTCATGAACACTGTGTGAGCAGTTATGACTCCTTGTTTTGATTAAAATTAATTATCCCATTGATTAAAAACTGCCTCCATAGCAGAATCAATGGATCCTCTAGCGGCAAGAGCTGCCATCTTGGTTGTTTATGGATATGCTGGCCTGTGATTGAGTCGGATTATCTGACACCAAGAGTTACTGCAGTTCCAGATGGTTCCAGACCCTCATGCCAGCCAAACTAAATATGAGCTGACTGATGGGTCTGATGGTGCCAGTCTGCTATGAGGCCAGATTTGAAGGTAAAGTGGGACCCCCTGATTTTAAAGTCACAAAGTGTCACAAAACTGGCTCTCTTTCAACCCAGCTGCTATTGGGAGCAGTTTTTGATCACTTTTGATGACTTTCAGCTTTATATATTTAAGGGTGACCATACGTCCTCTTTTATCCAGACATGTCCTCTTTTGGGGGGCTGTCCAGGCTGTCCGGGTTTGTCCAGTTTTGTCCAGGGAAGTTTATAAAATCTTTTGTACATAAGTTTTGAGTTTGTGTCACGTGGACTAAGTGAGTTGGAAGGGCGTAAAAGACACTCGATCCAACCCAAAAAACTCAAAATTAACTTCGAGCAACTCTGTGACTCCACCCTCACGTAGTCGTGTCCTCTTTTCGGGAAGTCAGGCAATGGTCATCCTAGTATTACTGTATCCTGATGATTTCCCTTTAAGAGGAGTTAGACTCTTCATCTAAAGGGACTCGTACATAGAAACTTTGAAACTGTAATTTTACATTCTGAGTCACAAACTATTGACGGAAACATACAGTATATAGAGATCACACGACAGTACAGACTTTAGTCTCAGTTTTGTGACAAAACTCTGAGACAAAAGTCAGAATTTGGAGGACAGAGCAAGAACCACACCTTTAATCTCATAATCAGAGTCATAATGCTGGAAAACCTTTGAGATTAAAGTACAAAAACTGACTTTGATTTGAGAGTTCATATTCAGAATCATGAGATTAGAGGCATACTTACTGCTTTAACCTCCAAATTTGGCGCCGCCTCAGACAAAATAAAGCCTCTTTTTCTTTTTTTTAGTCTTTCCCAACACAAATGATCGGATCAATTATTTAATATTTGCTTCACCCATCTGGTCTGACACCTGTACCTCCATGCAGCCATCAAAGGAGTTTGAAATAAACACTAACATGCTCTCCCACATGATTACATTCATATTAATGAGTTTATTAAACCTCACAACGTCCTGATAACAGTTCATACATGCAAACGATTACATATACAATAAAACATATGCTACATTTTTACAATATACCTTTACAGTATGGACAATAGTGTTACAGCTTGACACGATATGAAGTGTTTGGGTGTTTAAACTTTGCCTAAAGTGGCGTTAATGACGTGTTTTTGACATGTTACTTGTTTAATTCATTGATAGATGTGAATGATTGGTTATGAAGGATCAAAGTGCTTAAAGAGGACGCGTGTGTTAGAGGATAAATATTCTCTTTTATGTTTCATATCATGTGTGATTCAATCTGGCAGGTTATATTGGCAGATTTTTTACACAATCCTCGTTATTAGTACCATACTCCCAGTAAAGGGAAGTCATAATAAATCCCTGTTAGAGGAGAATCAATAAACGGTTATGTCCAAAGTTGAAGCGGAGTAAATGAGTCGTAAATCACAGTCCTAGATTTTCTTGGATTTTTAAACCGCAGTCACTCCCATTACAATCAAAGCCACTCAGATTAATGGTGAACTTCCTCTTCGTTGCCTTGCACAGTTGTAATTCATCTTAATTGTGATAAACTCCTCCTGGCTGCGTTCCCAGCTCTCCAGATGTTCCACGTCTGTTTGATGAATAAATCCCTTAAAATGTCTCCAAAGTCTGCAGTTCATGGCCTTGAGAGTCTGCAGACAAAGCTTAAAACACGTCGGAAATCCATCATAACATCCGTCCGCAGCTGGTCCTCCAAATCAATCTCAAGAATCATGTCCAGAACCGCAATGTGCTTAAGTAAAAATACTCCTCTGGTTGGCGACCAGGGCGGTTTGGCTCTCCCGTCTGCGCTCCTTCTTCCTCTCCAGTCTGATCTTCCAGCAGACAGCGCTGGACGCCAGGAGCACCAGCCCGGCTGAGAGGAGCACCAGCCCGAAGTAAGAGATGGTCGACCCATGGGAGTTGAAGCTGTACGCCACAGCGGTGACCACAATCCCGGCGATAAGGACCACCACGCCAAAGGGGACGGTGCAGCGATAGCAGGACAGCTCCGCTCCACCTGTGGCTGCGGTCAGCTGGACTTCATTGACCAATGGGATGCTGACTGTGGTAACATCACAGGGGGCAGTGGGGGTCTCGTTGTTGCTGGGCTTCTCGGGGGTCGCTGGCGTTCTCATGGTGTCCTTGTTGGCTTCTTCTGGCATCGCAGGATCAAAAAAACCCTCCGTTGACCAACCACAGATGGTTCCTCTTAATTCTTTCCCTTGCTAGGGTCTCCCAGTCTGTGCAAAGAAAGAAAATAACCATGAAAGAGCAATTCTTGTGCTTCTAACCCAATTTCACAACCTTTTTTTGAGTTCTTGATTTTGTTTCTAAAAGAACTGAATCCTGACAAGAGTCTACAGAATTTATTACATATTTAAAAGGAAACTGATGACCGGTGAATCAGAGTCATCAGTGAAGTTCTCGCTGTGAGACAGAAGTTTATACTCTGATGTTGAATTGCTGATGAGTGAGACTTGCAACTTCCTCACGCCCCCAAATAGTGTTGGGCGGTATGACGGTATATACTGTATGACGGTATAAAAGTGTCTACCGGTAGAAATTTTGCTATACCGTTAATACCGCAGAGACAGAGAGCGGATGTCTGCTGCATCTCTCTGAGTCAGTGAAGTTGTCTTCAGTCGCGAACAGAAAAGCCAGAGCACATCCGTTTGGGTGCGTTTCCGTATATTCACCAGCGTGTCGTGCAGAGTTTGTTCGCTCTGTTTGTTTGGTCATGTTTGGGTGCACTCCCTATAATCACCAGTGTGTCCTGCAAACTGCTTGGCATGATTTCGACAAAGAAGAAACCGCTTCACTGGGGGTGGTTATGGCCGACACGGAGGTTAGTGGCAGTACCGAGCAAACAGAGACAGCCCGACCCACCCAACATGAGGAAGAGGAGGAGGAACTCGTTCCAAAAAAGGGTGCGAGTTGGTTGTCTGGAGAAAATCAGACAATGATCAAAGAACAATACTACGCAAAGAGTGTTGTGTGGCTGTCGTTGCTGGAGGAGGAAACACCAGCAACCTCTTCCACCACCTAAAGATGAAACACGCCAAGCTCTATTATGAAATTACTCATACTGTGATACAAGATTTTGTTCATACAGCCCAACACTATCCCCAAACTTTGATGCGCATCGATCTGAGCTCTTTCTGTTGAGGTCAAAATCAGATCTGTCTCCACTGTGGCAAAAGAAAGGGAAGGTGACGAAAGGAGCGATCGTTCAGTCTCAGCTATCACATTTTGAAAAATCCTGGAGAGCCATAATCATCAATGAAATAAAATACGATCCAGCTCTACCAATCAACCATGATTATGGTCATTAGTTGCAGCCCTAAAGGGTCACATGACTGAAATTGCATGTCTGCGCCCATGCGTGCATTGCAAGTGTTTATACAATAAAAAGTTCAGCTCGACAATACTCCAGAAAACCAGCCTGCTGAGGCAGAATTACTGTCAAGTGACTGTTGACATTTCTTGCATAAGTCTTTCTATAATGCTGTCAGGGACTTTAGATAAAAATCTGAACCTGTCTGTCTGTGACAAAAACAAGCAGTCAGCAGATCTCTGATTGGATGCAGATTTGGCTGCTGTCTGTTTCATAGCTGCAGGCTAAAGCATCTACTGCAACAATTCTAAAACTTAGATTTCAAAATATGATGAAATAATTCAAACAAATGGAGGCAGTGATGGGTTAAACTTTCTGCTCAAAGCCTGACTCAGCTCTCCAGGAGAGAAAAACTGACCCCGCAGATGCTTTTTGTTAAAATCCAACACCACATTTCACAATCCCACCAACAATCCCAGAGCTCCCCTCGCAGCTTTAAAGTCACCCCTCTTCGCTCCACCCGGCGGCCTCCTGACTCAGAGGAGCCATCTGAATGACGCAGGAGTGCCCGGCCCAGCACGAGCTGAGACATTCCCTGGAGAGCGCAGGATATGACATTACAAACCGCTCCGTGAAACGCGAGGAGCCTCCAAATCACCTGCAATTTCACAAGCACGCATTTCCCCGGCCTCTGTCACGTCTGCAGCGAGGAGAGCTGGGATTCAGAGTCCGAGTGCGAAAACAAGCTGCTTTCAGTCAGCATCAAGGAGGGTGGAAATTCTGTGTGATGAGCTCTTAACCAACACTGAGGAGGAGTTTTGGTTCTCCACCTTAAAGCACTAAACATAACAGATATCATCTCTCAACTGGGGTACATCCCTGACACCATGAAGAAGTCATAGTTTGGGTTTGTTTCACTCTTCCCAGCACATTATATGAGCTTGTATTGATGAAACACACTATCAGAAACATAATTTGTAGATAAAACGTTAGTCAACCAAACTTGAAAATGAGAGATTTCACTCTTCGCTTGTGACGTGATGCAGAGTTTGTTCTCTTTGGGATAATGAAAACAAGATAATTCTTTAGGAAAGTGAAACAAAATGACAAAAACAAATCTTTGTTTTTACATTTTGAAATTGATGATGGTTAAAGTCAGAGAAAAGTTTAGCAATTGATGAATCACAGTTCGGCTGGCAATCTCATTTTAATCTCAGTCATAAAAACAAGATATTTAAGACAAAATTATGGTCCCTTCTTTCACAGCAGAGCCAGCGGGCTATTATAGTTCATCATTAGGAGTGAAAAAGGATGTACAACAAAATTTGGGAGTGCAAGAAAGTTGCTGCAAAATGTACTTGTTGGGAGTAAATGTGTAGTGCTGCCGGGCAGAGAGGTAGGTGTGTGTTAGTAAAGCAGAGGGACAGAGAGAGCATGAAGAGACACAGCTGGGTGATTAATCCGGTTTCAATTTCGATCAGGATTTTGGCTCTCAGTGATCACAAAAATATGACAATCGAGACTGAACGATATTTTGCCACCAATACGTCCTACATGTTGAATGAAGCACACCCTCCCTCTCTTTTTTAACAGTACAGCTTGGGTGTGACCCCTCCCCTTGAACAGCTCTCACTGTCACTTCATCATAAGCAGCTCAGACCAATGAGAAACAAAGTTTAGGAGCACCAGGCAGTAGTGCTGAAGTTACAACACTCTTGGCAACAGATACAAATGAACGGGGAGTCACAGCTGGAGAGAGGAGAGCAGGGAGAGGAGCAGGATGACAAGTGTATGTATCTATATGTGACAGTAAAGCTGAAGAACAAATTTGACAGTTTTTGTTTAAAGCTCCCATTCGGAATTTTCTGTCTGTGTCAACTTTGGCGCCCCCCTGTGGACAAAGTATAACCTCTTGTCCAAATCAAGTCGGATGTGTCACTCTGTGAGAGCTTGCAGTGAAAAAGTAGTAAATGGTCTTTTCAACATGCCTCTGTTATCTTGTTGGGCACCTATCTCCTCACAGCAATCACAGGCACTGAAAAAATTACAGTATAAAACTGTCCGGCTTGTATTCCTGTTAATTTCAGTCTTTCTTTGGACCATAAAAACAATTCTCTGCACCCTCAGACATGACTTCAGTGTGCACAGACTATCAGTGAAGTGCAATACTGTAAAAAGCGCTGCAAAATTGTTCAATATCTTCCCCCTTTAACGTTTCAGATGCCAAATCACTCCTCACACATGAATGCTGTTGGTAAGTTTACAGCTGAAGTTTGGGGAAATGTTGCTTCCACATAATTTGAGGTGCGTACCTCACTCCACATATGGGTTAAAAACAGGCATATGATACTTGCACTACATTTAAAATGTGTGCTTTTTACTTGAGACGGTTCACAGACTGCAAATCTTCCTTCAACTGAAGTAAACTGTGATTAAAGCCATTTTTTTACTTCACTTGAATGTTTTAGCACTCTGTTTCAGGCAAATCAGCAACAATATTTTGATAAAAATGTATTACTTAAGCTCTGACAGTCCACATCACCTTCAAGAAGTACCTTAAGAATAAATGTTTCAGGCTGACAGATTTACATTCAGAGAATAACTGTTAATCACTTCTAAAATTAAGTCTAATTTTTATGTTTTTAAGTGCAAAAGGAAGATTTTTTTTTAAAAGAGAGGGATAGAGGACCCCAGATAATTAAAAATAAAGTTTCTGGGCAACTTTAACAAATTTAGGTTAAGTTTTAAGGCAGGGAAAAGAAGCATATATGTAAAATATTTGTTAAAACCGCCTTAAAAGATGGTTATCATAGCGTGAGAGTGTTTTTTAAGCTCTGACAGTCAAAATTACAACCAATTTTAAGATTTTTGTCCTTCCAAAGACCCGCTTTGTGCACCAGGAATCGGAAAATGGAAGTTATCGTAATGAAAACATTTGAAATTATACTTAAAAAGAAAAAAACATGAATTATAAAATATAGTTTTTGTTGTAACTATTAAACAAGACTTATCAACATTTGCTTATGTGAGAGCATTTAAAGAAAAAAAAAAGAGGTGTATTTTAAATGTAAGGCAGTTTCTGGTTTTAGTCTACCAATGAACACAGGTGTTTTAGTTGTATTTTAATAATTTATTAGGCTGCAGAAGTTTTTGTTGATTTAGTAAAACTTCTTTTAAATGACCTGCAGACAGACCTGCAGCCTCTCTATGTAAAGTGAGTTTAAAAGAAGCCGGTTAAAGTGCAGGAGTTTCCGTCTAAGTCAAAGTGAAGCTGCTCAGTCAGTCTCAGGGTAAGGTTATCTCTCGTCATGCTCGACACAGACAGCAGAGAAAAGGTTTTACCTCACAGCTCAAGTTCTCCATGACGCTCCTCTGCAGCAGGGAAACTTCTTTCAGATAAAACTCAAGTTGAATTAAAATAACTAAAAGTGTTTTTCTCCTCCTGTGTCGCTCTGAAACAAACGAACAGAGTTTCTCTGAGCCGGACTGGAACCTGACTCCCCCAACTCAGTCCTCAGGTTCAGGGCTGCGGGTCGGACTGCCATCCCCATTCAGAACAACTATTTCAAGTATCGATGACTGCAATGTGAAGTTACAAACAATATGGGGGAATACAACTTCCGGGCAAGCCTTAGAAAATAAAACTCATGTTTCTATCAGAGTCTGAAGAAAACAATTTTCAATTTTTATTCTTGATGTATCTTAAAGAGTGTATTAGAAAATTATTTGGATTGAACAAAAAATAGGTAAGGTTTCTAGTATGTTATTATACTGTGCCATACTGCAGTGTTTTAGGTAATCCGCATTGTGTTCTCTGTTGTATTTTAGTAATTCATACAATTTTATATGCATCAGAATATATCCAAGTAAACAGCATTTATGTTCATTTAGCTGAAATAGTTAGATAGTTGGAAAATAAAAAATAAAAATATAGAAAAACAGCTTTCCAATCTATGCATATGATACTATTGATATCAAATCATATTAATATAGAATATAGTATGATATGACATAATAAACTATCATATATTCATTATCATACACTATATATTATTATAGTATTACATAATATCACGTGGTTATCGAACATAATCGAGCATAATACTGGTTTATATTTTGCAAATTTTTTTTAATTTTATCTTATCCCACAGTTTGTTTCATAATATATATTGAAAATGTATTCTACTGTACTCTGCATTATTTCACTAAATTCAAAAGGCTCTTTATTATATCAAATGGAAAAAAAATTATATTATGTTTTGCATCAATGTTTTTTGATTTGTTTAATTGCAATATGAATAAGAATAAGAATAACTTTATTCATCCCCAAAGGGAAATTCAAATGAATTCAAACTGTAAATTAAAATTAAATGAAAATTAAAATTTTGAATTCAAATTTATTTATATTTTATCATTACATTTATTCAATTTAAATTCAAATGGAAATGTTAAACTATACTAAAAAAATTTTTTTTTTTAAATTTATTTCCAAATTTGGTTCATGGGTGAATGATCATCCAAAACAGCTCAAAAACTTCAAAAGATCCAGAAAAATCAGCAATTTGATAAGAAATGTCAAACTTTGTTCATTATTCAGCAGTCTTTTATTAATTTTTATAGAAGACAGGGACAAAATAATCTTATGTTAAATGTTTAATTAATTATTGATAAATATTATCGATAAAATAAGATTCTAGATGCTAAAAATTCGGTTTAAACGTGTAAAAACATCTCAAATTGCCAGGTAAGGAAAAAATGAAAACGTTTTTACTTTTTGGTTTCTCTTATTTTGAAAGGTTTGACCGGAAGAGAGAATTGTAAGTGATAGAGTGCTGACAGGTCAGTGTCAGGGGGGAGCCGTCATGTCGCTGCAGTTCACAGATGAGGAGTTTCAGAGCGCTTGGAGGGAGCTGGATGAACCGCAGCTGGAGGGAGGATGGGAGCTTTTTACGGAGACGATGGGAGTGAAAATCTACCGGCTTTATGATAAGGTACCACAACAAATCAAACAAATCACAAACCCGCTGGTTTCACACACGAAGGAGCTGCCGGAGACTCACTGAATGAATGGGGTCGTCCATTCAGTGCTGGGATTCCTTTGCGTTTCCTCAGTTACACCTTTAAAATCCCCATTTTGCGGTCATTTGAAAGCCTTATTATAATGTTATCTATGAAGAAGAGCATTAGGAAACATACCCGCAGTAATCTCCTAGTGGCCGACACGAGAACTATCCGGAAACCGATGGAGACTCGTTGGACTAATAACCAGGCAGTACATCAAACCAAACTCCATTGGCAAAACTATCATTTTACTTTTACGAGTACTTTTGCCTAGCATTTATAGTTTTTGAAAACTGGTTGAACAGATAAATGAGATGGAAATGAACCAGCCTTTAATTCGGCATATATTGGACACATCAGGGTTATAGCCTTTAATACGTTTTGGCATAAAAAGCTGAGCAAAAACGAACTAATCTGTAAAATTTAATGTATATTCGATTAGCCGGCATGAATGGAAAAGACAAATTAAAAGTCTTAATGAATACATAAACGAAAAAAATAATGCGTCGAATGAGTGCCACATTTAAACTCATATTTTGAGACATATCTAGTGAAATATAATGAACTTTTATTAGCCACCAAAGAACCCTTCTTATCATTAACTTGAAACCTCCTGATATTGAAATTATATAGAAAAAATACCCCCTTTTTAATTTAGATAATATTGTAAAGGAATCAATATTTTATTGACTTCAAGGTCCTAATGTGGTGTTGAAATTCAGGAAAAAACAAGGCTATCTTAAATGTGTGTTTTTGTGAATGGGTTTTGGTTTGACTTTGATTTACTTAAAGTAGTCATGCATGAATCTTGAAACCACAACCCATAGACGCAGTTTGTTTGGTTTTATTTGGTATTAGTGTGAGAAAATCATCCTCTGACCTGTTTATTGTACTTTTGAATCTTTCCAACACATCCACACTTGTTGTCAGAGTGTTTATGAGTGTTACACTGACTGGCTCTAATCAGAGTTGTGTGGTTTGGGATTAGTGACACACTGTGGGTGTGGTATGTTGGCCTGCAATTCAAGCAGAGGGAACTTTTTGCATTGTGTTTTCAGGAAACTGGGCTTTATGAGTACAAAGTCTTTGGTGAGCTCACCACCTGCCTCCCAGAGCTGTGTGCAGATGTCTACATGGATTTGATGTACAGGAAAAAATGGGATGGATATGTGAAAGGTAAGAAAAGACCCCAGAAGATTGAGTCTACTTTGTCTTTACCAGTTCTATCTACCTGTCCTTTAATTTCCAATTGAAGAAGCATATTGCATCAAAGTCTTCATCCTCCTGCCATGAAATGATTTATTATACATTGTTTGATATACTTAAGTAACCCTTTCCTTCTTTCATTCATTTCTTCATGCACCTCTACAGTAGCCTAAAGGTAACACAGTGTAGCTCTAGTTTGTAGACTGACACTGTATTGTTGCTCCATGGTTCGTCAGTAACATCTAAAAACTGCTTGTTCTAGTTGTTATCTTAGATGTTAGAGTCATTTCTGGAGTAGTTTAAGTTGCTTTATGTCTGTTTTGAGTAGTATCGTTAATGAATTTGTTTGCAGTTGTGCCCATGTTTCATAGGGAATATTTAAATTCCAGCAGCGGTAACCCTTCATAAATTTAAACGTAACGTAGTTATGATCAAAGTGTTTCATAAGCAGAGTTTGGAGCAGTTTGCACCACACAAACTTCTGCGTTTGAGATTGTTAATAGTAACTTGTTTGATAAATGTTATTAAACACAGCTTAAAAGGATATTACAAGGTAAAATTAGTTTAGGGTATAACTTGCATCATCCCGCTGCAGCAACATTCATCTCTCGAGGGGGTGTCTTGACCCTAAATTAATTTTATGCTGGAATATCCCTTTAACAGGAATTCAGAGAACCCATTGGTCAATGGTGTCAAAGTAGTTTGCCAAGCAGAGCTAGCACCCCCTGCTTTCACTTTGTGATATCTGTGTACTGATTATCTTTTTTTGTTCAGAGCTCTATGAAAAGGATTTTAGTGGACAGACTGCGATCTACTGGGAAGTTGTCTACCCGTTTCCTCTTTCCAACAGAGATGTATCTTTTTTGTGTTGAATGTGATTAATAAGTTTGAAGTAAGTACAGAGTACAGAACACATCTTCCCTGACATTGCAAATCTCAGTATGTGTATGTGAGGGAGCGCAGAGATCTGGACATGGACGGCAGGAAGATCTGGGTGATCTTGGCCAGAAGTTCTCCAGGGACTGCGTGTGCAGAGAAGAAAGGAGTCCTGCGGGTCAACGACTACAAACAGAGTGTCGCCCTTGAGAGCAACGGGTCCTGTGGAACGAGAGGTACACCTGAAACAAAACAAAATGATTCTGCTGCATCTTTCATGAATAAATAATATTACGTTCAGGAATGGTAAGGCAGCTTCATTTAAAACATTGTAAAATATTGAGAGTTTAAGATTTCAAGTTTAGTAAAGATGTAGTCTTTACTTTGAGGTAAAATTCTTAATAAATGTCAAATATCTGTGAATTTTCTGTGAACTTAAACTTTTCTAAATGAAGTCTACCGATCTTGAAACGTACAGTTGAAGTCTTAATAAAGCCCAATATGAATTCTGAATCTCTTCTGCGTTTCAGTGTTCATGAATTACTTTGACAACCCTGGAGGCATGATCCCTGCCTGGGTGGTGAACTGGGCGGCCAAGGTGAGTCCATGCAGTATTATGCAGTGTGGTGTTTGGTGACCAAAACTACGACCCTGGATGAGCTGGAATTAGAGGAGCGAGGGTTTGCATGAATCTTGAGACCTGTTGTTGTTTAAAGGAACAACTGCACAATATCATGTTGGTTTTATTAGCGGGCACATTCAGGCTCTCATTGATGTGGAAGTCTTAGAAAAATGTTTCCCACGGCCGCGCAAATTTATTTAACATCGCACGTTCCTGCCGACCTTCAACGGATCTTTGATGAGGGCTTTAAAACCACGTTAAAGGGTTCATTCTCAGGCCTCACAGAGCGCCATCTCTCCGCCTGCTTTATGGTTTTTCCATCATTATCGTTTGCAGATGTGTTGCAGGGTGATGTCAGCTGCACCTCTCCTCCTGGGTGAGTCCAACATGAGTCTATATCGTTCACTGATGGATACTTTTCGTGTGTTTGTCTTTGACAGACCGGAGTTCCAGCTTTCTTAACGAACATGCAGAACGCTTGCAACGACTACGCCAAGTACTGCCAGGAGAAATGAAGGCGCCCGACTGGAGAGTGGCTCATGCACAAGGGCTGCGTTTTATTCTTTTGTTTTAGATTTGGGAGGTGTTTTAAAGTTGTATGATTGAATTTGATTTTCTGTATGGAGTCTATGTGGCATGGTTCGGCGGCTACTTGTCTTTGTAGCATGCTGTTGATCGACTCAGGCATGATGAGCACGACTGGCCGCCCACATTTAAAGGCTGGAGCAAAATCAAATCAACTGCTGTATTTACCTGTACTTCACTGTCTTTATGTGCAATCACTGGAAACTCCAGTTCCCTCAAGATTTCTGAATCTGTATATTTTTTTAAAGATTCATCTGTAAAAAAAAAAACAAATGAAAAAAATCACATGTAACACTTTGTACAGAAGCCCTGAGAGGCAGATGAGAGAAAAATGGTGATTCAAAGTCAATCATAACTTTTTCTGCCTGTGTTTGAACGTCAAAATGTTACAGGATACCTATTAATCTCATTTCCATCTTTTATTCTGTCAGCCTGGGACACTTACAGAGTAGCTTTGCATGATTTAGAGCTCAAAAAAACTCCTTATTTATGTTATGTGAATTTCTAGCCTCTGCCTGAATATTTTATTTTGGTTGCTTTTCCACCAATAGAAAGCTAAACACATCTGTAGCTATAAATTGACCACAAAGTTATTCCTCTGCCTGAAACATTTTGTTTTTGCAACTTGGATGTTACTTATTACACAACTTTGTAGTCATGAAACATTCTGAAAGTTAACACCTGCCTCAAAGTGCTTAGTTTTAGCTGCTTTTCCTCTGATAAACAGTTGGATAAAGCTTGTGGGTGTTACTTATAGACTGTATATGGTATAGACAACGTAACTCCGCCTCCTGTCATTGTACTAATTTGAAGCCAACAAGCTCCCGGTTTTTCCAGGAGCTTTCTCCATTTCCTAAGACCAGAATTTGTACAGTAGTGTTCAGCTGGAGACACAGCTTTAATCAAATCAAATCAATCAAATTTATATAGCGCCAATTCACAACAGTTGTCATCCCAAGACGCTTTCCAAAGAAAAAGAGCAGGTCTAGACCACGCTTATTGTTTGATGAATTATCAAGACCAAGCCTACATAGCATTCTTTTTGCCAAAAACAGTCAGGAAAATTGTTTCTGGTCCTGAAATGTTTCCTTTTGGTCTCATTTTGGACAGCTATAAAGTTGGACATATCATATGGGTGTCACTTTGAACACAGCTTCGTAGTCATGAAACATCCACACAGTTCACTCCTGCCTAAAATGCTTTGTTTCCAATGTTTTTCCATCCCTCTGCCTTAAATACTTTCTTTCGGTTGATCTTTTTTCATGGCAAACCCCTATTTTTTTAAACTAGCACTAGGGAAAACCAAATGGTTTGGATCACATTCAGAAAACCTTGTTTTTCTCTTTTCTCTCAGGGCTTCTGTGCTTTTATGTGTCTGTGTTGTGACAATGATAAGCTACAGATGCAGTATCTGGCCTCACATTTCATGGCTTGACCTCATTTTAAATCCATGAACTGTACATGTTTGATGGAAAAAGATACACTACTATAGTTCAGACTTGAATCATACAGTTTTCTATTTCAATTGACTAGAATTTAATCATGAGTCGTAATGAAATGGAATGATCACTCTATGTTTATAGGAATGGCGCCAGACTTATGCAAAGGTCATGTTATGAAACTGTGTTCTGATTTATCATGGGCTCATACACTAAAATATGCAGGATGTGGGATTATACTGTACCTCAGCACTTATGTACAATATCAGATGTATATAATTTAATCAGGATATGAAATGCCTATGTAATGTAGGTGTAATACTGCTGAAATGAATAAAGTTTTATGTGAAATTTATTCCGGCATGTGAATGAAGCTTTGTGACAATATAAAAGGAGTTAAAACAATGTGGTTAAATTTGAACGTCTAGCTTTAAAAATGCAGCTAAATACACCAGTCATGTATAAAATACTCACAATGTAATATGTTTGAACATATAAATAGGATATTGCTGAAAGAAGTAAATGTTTTGTTTCATGACACAAATTATCATGTCAAATTTATACATATCTGCTGCAAACATATTTTAGTTTTCTTTAATTTTGCAATACGAATGTGTAGTTGCACATCAGTAGTTCCAAAAAACAACCCTGACAAAATACAAATTATAATTGAGCAAATGCTTTTAAATAGTATAGCTCACATTGGGGACTGTAACCTATTAAAAAATACTGGTATACTAAAACTAGCCTAAAATTAATCCAAAATTTTCTCAATTGTGTGTCATTTAACTGCTGTTGACTATATAACAACCAAGGGAAACATATATTTGTTAAAGGGTATTTACTTACTTGCACATTACACCATAAATATTTAGAGAAAATTAGAAATAGGCTTCTAAATTGCCAAGTATTTTAGTGATTGCGAACAGGCACCTATAAGGACAGCCTGTTTGAGCGCGGGGTCCTTACAGCAACATTAGGCCCACCAGGAGGAGGTGCTGCTGCAGGTAAAAGCTAATTGTTTTCTGTGAATGTTTTTCAAAGATAAATGGATTATTTGATGAGGTAAATGGTTAGTTAGGTTTTATTTTTTAATATGGAGAGGTTATATGATTATTTTGTTTGATATGGGGTGAATGAGAGCAACAACTAGGATAGTTAGCCAAAACAAGTATTAGCATGCTAGCCAGCCACCTGTAATGTTTGGCTACACATCTGTTTGTTGGTGTCCAAGAGAAAGTCTTTTAAAGAAAAACTTTAATCGGAGCATTAAAATGTCGGTTAGTAATGGGACAGCTTCAACTTGATTCTTCAAATTAATATTTTTTTTTATGTAAAACTGAATACAGTTAAGTTTCTTCGACCATGTTATTTAGTTTGAAAAGCTGCTTCATTAGCTTAAACTGATGATCACCTTTAATGTTGTTCAACATATCATCTTTTTTTCCATTAATCTTACTTCTTGTGTAATTATTTTAAGTCATGTGCAGCTAGTTGCTAAATTCAATTCCGGCGTGAATTGAAGTTATGGTCAAACACACCGAGTTAGACAACCCCTTGAGAGATGAATGTTGCTGACCGCTTGCTTCTCTAGATAAACCAACTTCAGCAACAACCGCATGATAGCAATACACAGCGGTCAGCGCCTCCACGCGTAAACCTCTACCGAAAAGCCACTCTACAGCCACAAATAAAGCTCAGAACAGCACCTAACTTCATCAACAGTACATATAGAGTCCCAGCCACAGCACTAACCACCAAACATCTTTTTAGCTTTGCCTGATTTCTTCAGCAAAGAGACTAAACACAACTCACCCACTTGCCCTCAGCAGCCGCTTGTTTGTGGGGGAGCCCTGATGAGTCAATCACCAAGTGCAGGGGAAAATTTATGATCATTACTTTGTGGACGTGCAATCAGACCGAGACGCTAAGGCAGAAGAACTACTGTGTCTGCAGTGCACATACAAGATACACAAGAACTCAAATTTGCATTTCCATTTGGTAATAATCATAAATGTTCTTCCTTGAGCGGCGAAACTCCACTGCACTCAGTGATTGACTTATCAGGGCTCCCCCACAAACAAGCAGCTGCTGGAAGAGAGTGGGTGAGTTGTGTTTGGTCTCTTTGCTAAAAAAAACAGGCAAAGCTAAAAAGATGTTGTTCTGAGCATTTTTTTGTGGCTATGAGTGGCTTTTTGGTTGAGGTTTGCACGTGGAGAAGTAGACCACTGTGTATTGCCAATGTGCGGTCGTTACTAAAGTCAGCAACATTCATCTCTCGAGAGGGTGTCTTACTCGGTTATTCAGTGTGTTTGACGATAACTTAAATTTCAGTGATAGTATCCCTTTAATTTAAGAGTTTTGCAAAACTTTTGTAAAAAAAAATCACATAGGTCACCTTTTGTGATGAATTGATTATTGAATGGAAGATTACGAAAAAGTGTGTTTTATTCTTTAGGATAAAGATGGATATTGTCAAATTTTCAGATACTCCATTGTGTAAGAGAGGAGGAAAGCTGCATGGACTTGTGTGCGTCGGCGTGGAGGAGGAATAATGGAAATAAAAAAAAATAAGGTGAGCAAACTAAGGATGTTTGTGGACATCCATGTATCCAAGCACATTTACATGATACATTAACTTAATAAAAACATTGGTAATAATAATAGATGATACAATGTAATGTAAATGATATAAATAGTGTCGTGTTTTTCAATACTGACCCTTTGTGCCAAAAAGAAGCAACATAAAAAACTAGATGTTAATGCTGAACAAATCAATGAATGAATATAACAAACGAAGAATTAACCGATGTTGTACAGTGTAATTTTTACCTTGTGAATAGAACAAAATAAAAATCTGTCTACCCTAACTACCTAAATCAAACAACAAAAGACCACCACCCCAAAACTGATAAGGAATAACAGGAAAATTACTAAAAGTAAGTGAAGGAAATGTTCACAATAAGAGACATCTTTCTCAGGCTTGTATTGAAATAAAGAGGATACCAAATTTGCAGAAAAAGTAGGTCCAAGCTTGCCATGTATTTTATCAAAGTAAACAGCAGGAGAAGAAGGTAGCTGTAGTTTTTTGATGTGTTGGCTGTTCGGCCGACAGCCAGTGCTCACGGAAACCTGATTTTATCCATTTTCATGTCCAGTGTAAGCCCACACTGTGCTGCCTCAGAGGAGTTCTCAGTGGAAACAATGAAGTGTGGGGTCATTTCCTTGTTGCCCTTATAATCCTCCTGATTACTCCCTCTTTGTGGTGATAAAAGTGAAACCAGTGTGGCACTCCCACACACGCCTGCTTTTCTGTCTCTGCTGATCGGTTGTTAAAGTTGTGAAGTGTCGGCCCAGATGTTTCCTGAAGGAAGATGATGGTGGTTGTTTCCTGTGAGGTCACCTTTCTATTGGAGCTGGGTGTCACGTTTGACTTTGGCTCTACTGTCTGTTTAACATGAAGGAGATACTGGACACCTTTAGAAAACCAACAGAAATAACCTTTTATGGTAGAATTATTGCAAGTGGGTCAATTCAACCTGCCTATAAACCAATAAAAAGACTAATTTTGGTCGAACTCAATTTTTACCTTGCTTCATCCTCCTGTTAATAACCTCCATGATTTTATTAGTGAGTGGTGAACTATGTTTTTAAAACCACCAAAACAGCTGTTCAACAGATCAATATTTTTAAAGTAAAGCTCAAGACAAAATATGAGTACATTTTTGCACCTGTTGCAAGATGTTCAGGTTAAAAAGATGAGAGTATATGTACACTGTATTGTATTACAGTCACACTAATTCTAAACAGTTTGACTCCAATTCTTAGATCAGAACAATTTTGATTAGAAATAGCAACAGTGCCCATGAAACCACAGCTGTACACTCTGTTTCTGTGAGTTTGGGTCTAGATTTAGATAAAAAATGATTGGGGGTATTCATAAGGCATGGATGTCAGTTGCTAACTGTTGCAAAAATTACACATTATTTGACACCACTTAAAGCGTATTACAGTGATGATACTCTTGTGCAAAAATAACCATACGTTTTTGCAGCTCCATGCAGTTTGCTCTTGTTTTTGCATCTCCTTGTTGAGCTGTCAGCATCTCCAGCCATCTCCACAGCTTGTGTGCAGGGGTTGAGCTCCAAACTGCCCCAGACATACTTAGCCCCTTATGATTTCTAAAATAATAACATCAGAGTAGTATATTATATTAGGGTATATTATTTTCAGGTATCCCAGAGATGTGAATATTGCTTGCTCACTCAAAAATACCCTTACTGTTAGTGCTGTTGGTTACTGAGTATTGCTGTCGGTGAAGACCTTACTTCAGTTGAGTAATGTGCAGTTTCTGTGCAGATGTGTAGCTGTTTGTTGTACTGTTTGTTATCATCAGCCTGCCAAGTATCTGTGAGATACCTGAGCTCAGCTACAGCGGTGTCAATCATCGAGAAGTACGGATGGACTCACTGCCCAAAAGCAAATTTGCAGAGATTTACACCACTTACTTATGACCAGTTTTTCTGAAATTTATGACAATGACCTTATTAGAAGTTAAAGTGATAGATAGATAGATAGAAGATATGGATAGAAAAGGTCTGTTCCTTTTGCCAATATTTTGAAGGCATATCATTAATAAAGAAATCCCATAAGTAGATAACTGCAGTTTTTCTTGCATTATTACGCTCACAGATGTATGGATATGATACTTCCCTTGATAAAAATGCTCTATGATGTATTTGTATATTACCAACACAGCGATAATTACATTTCCAGGTTTTTCTTGCGGTGGATGCATTTGCACCAAACCTCATGCAGCTGTCAGCCCAGCTCATACAGATCTATGATGCTTTTACGCCCTCTACTGGTGAAAGCTGCAAATTGAAAGTTACAGGTGTTACCTCCAGTTAATTATTAGGGGTTTATACTGACCACTAAAAAGATTAAGACCATCCCTCAATGCCCTGGAAGGAATCTACAAATCATAGGCTGTGCTTTAAAGTAATCAATCGTCAGTTTACTGCTGCACTGGAAACAGTGATGTGTGCAAAAGTTGGCATTTTTCTTTTTAAGCATGATTTTTCTTATAGCTTTTCTTAAATTACTCTAGATATGTTTGTTGCCTTTTGTGTACTTTTGTGTTTTCATGTCTGTGTTTGTATTGGCCTTTTAGTGTAGGTGGCAGTGAGCAATGTCTGACTACCTCAGCGGATTGTTGGGGGTCACCAGTTCTACTCAGTTACCTCCCACTAACTTTTCATGTTACTCAAACTCCCTCATGTGCTGGGAGAGAACCTGAACCAGGAGCTCAAAGAGCTCCTCTGAAAGGGGTTACAGCAACTGAAAATAGTTCATAGTTGTGGTCATCTTATGTTATGGACTCTGGAGGGTGGGGAGTTTCAACAGTTCTCAGAACTGTGAAAACGTTTCTGCAGCAAAAAAATCAACAGTCCCACAAAAATGCTCAAGAGTTGCAGGAAAAAAGATTGTTTTTGAGATGTCAGGAGTATGACTGATTGAAAAATAAGCAATACAGAGAAGCTGAAAGTTTAACTCAAATAAAACAACGAATTAATAATCTTATTTTGTGCTCAGAAAACCTGCTGCAGAGGTTCTCCTGGGATTACAAAACAAGAATATTTTGAAAACCGTTTGTGTCGGCCTACAATCAAAAACTTCAAAATGCTTATCAGAAAAAGGGAAGAAAAAAAAACTTAAAACGCTTTTACTGAGCAGGTTATTGAAAAACGTGCCCATTTTCTTTCTATTTCTGGTAAAATGCGTTATACAGTGTGCTTAATGACTGCAGCTATTTATTGTATTGTTTGGGACACCATTAAAAGTGTCAGCTTAGAGTTCCTCAGCATCTCTTACTCCCATAGCACTATTAAACAAAGTTAGTTCTCAGTTTTACGAAGTTTGGCTCCAGTATAAAAAATATTTTCACTCTTTGATTTGAGCTGATTTAATCTTTACCAGTTGGATTTTATTTCATCAAAGTTGTCATGTGATTTTTTTATGCAGAGACAGTGACAGCAGTGACAAAAATCAGACCTAGGATCCCTCTGTAATGCAGCGTTTTATCCTCAGGAATGTCTCGGGTGAATAATACTCAGTCCTGGAGTTTTTCCACTGCCAGTCGCTCACAAATGGAAGACAAATATATTTCTTGGCCGGCCGTTGTGTTTGGGAGCGAGGTTCTTTTGATTGGTAATATACCGGGCTAATTAGCTTAAGAAAGTGATCTAGTTTTTCTGCTGGACTCCTGCTCCCTCTGTCACGTCAGCTCAGATTTCCCAGGTGCCTCGCTGTCTGCCAGAGGTAACAAAATAATGGTGCTGCTTGGAAACCTATTTTTCAACGTGGATTTTTGTGATTTTCGGTAGATTTCTGTTGTAGATATAAGTTTACTCAGGGGAGTCTCTGACCTGAAATAATCTTTTGTACATTTTCTTCTTTCTCTCTGCCAAGCTGCTGCATTTAAGTAGCAGGCCTTTCTCATCTTTATGCATGCAGATTCACATGCAAGCTTAATATGAGCCACGAGTTTCAAGAGAGGGAGACCCCATGGGAGCAAATTTGAGCTTTGATTTCTCATCTGCAGTGCACAGTAGGCCTGCACAATATGAAAGAAGTATGTGGTTTACAGTCACATTTTTAATATTAGGAAAGTGAAGAATATAAAAAAGAGATAAATGGATAAATGAAGAGAGATAAGAGAAAGATCCATGAGAACAGAAATGAGAACGAAAGTAGAACAAAAAGATGGACACCACCAAGTGAGGTATGTTCCAAGGGAGTTCAGTCATATCATAACAATACTTGTATACATCCCACCTAAGGCAACGGCTGAAGTTCTGTGTGATGTTCTCCACGATACTGTTGCTAGGATACAGACAACATCCTGAGGCACTTGTAATAATGCTACGTTGCCCCCTGAAGTCGGATTTCCGACCCGGAACGTTGGACGATCCTCACCAACCCCGACTTGACGACAATGTCATAATTCAAGATGGCAGCGCAGTGCATTGACAGTAAAGAGTAACAGTGAAAGCTCTCATAATGTATTGTTCATGTGCACTTCTGTTTTTTTTTTTTTTTGTGAAATTAAATAAGTGATATATGTTGTACTGCCAACGTCTAACTGTGAACACGGTGCTATGGTGTTTATAAGAGTAAAATACTGTGTTGTGCTTTGTTTACAACTAGTATATCTAACAACAACTAACAACAGCTGACAATGGCTAATAACTGACAACCACTGACAACAAATGACAACGGCTAGCAGCTAACAACAGCTAACAGTAAGCGTCCATCGTAGTATTTTGACTTGTTTACTGGAACTCCGTCAACTCGTGTGTAACATCATTCTCAGCTCCGACATCAGACTTCGGAGGTAACTGTAACGCAGCATAATATCAGGAGACTTCAACCATGTCGCCATCTCCTCTTACCTGACTGGAACACAGTTTGTTAAATGTCCTACCAGAGAGAAGCCCTGGACCTGTTGCTGCAGGTCAGATCATAACAGATCAAATGCATTTCCCCTTGAGTATCAATAAAATTCTTGTATTGTATAAGCATAAACCATCATAAAACAAGTTAAAAAGACCATAAACCACCAATAGATGAAAGGAATCTAACAATAAGAGAAGAACAAAAATACAGCCAAAGATTTTGAAAAATGATCATCTCATTATGATGCATTGTCATATTTTCTGTCTGCTGGTCGTGTAAGTGTGTCTGCAACAAAGTTTTTGTTAGTTTGAAGATATCGCCCTGCTAATTGAAGTTGCTTCTTTGGTCCTGAACATACCCAGTGCTAACTAAATCACATCTTAGGGCTGGGCAATAATCGAAAATTTACCGATACCAAAATTTACAACAATAACCGATGTCATTTTGCCCATGTCAATATATTCGGTGTCAAAAAAAATAAATAAAAGTTGGTTTTGGATATGTGTAGGTAGGCTATGGTCTCATGTCTCTTTAAGACGCTGTCCTACATCGGAGATGTGACCCCACGCTATCCAGTCCGTAACAAAGAGGGAAAGACAGGTGAGGAGATGGAGGAGGGTTCAAAAGTTGCAGTGGCTGAAGTAGACAAAGGGGGTGAGCAGCTTGTGGAGTAGTCATCCATTTATCATTTTCGAGGTGAAATGCTCAATATATAACAGTGATATTGATTTTAGGCCATATCGCCCAGTCCTACTTCATTGAACAAGCTTTTCTTCAGGTAACATTTGCAAACTCTTACTACAGACCCCGACACGAACATTACAATGTGCTGTATTTTTGTGGAACTGGTTTCCATGGACTCTGACATAAAAATGCTACAATTGTGAACTGAAAGCTCTCAGAAAAAATTGACCAATGATTTTGAGATTATTTCAAAAGGAGGAGTTGTTCACATGGTGCTACAACCCCAATAAACTCGACTAAGCACTTATTAGATGATCATCACAGAGACAGAGAAGACAGTTTCTAGGACACATCAGTGAAATAACAGAATCAAGACAGCATCATTTGAGTAGTTTATTCATTTCTTTGTTATTTTAATGTAACGTAAATGTTTTATGGGTTGTTTGAAAATAAAATAGATCATGTTCAACAGAGAAAAAAAATCATTTTTCTTATACCAAGAGTCCCAGACGTTTAAAATTAAAAGTTTTCAAGCTGCAATCACTGAACCGTAATGCTGTTAAATTTTTGCTGAGGGTTTTAATAGCGTCAAAATCTCATATTGGCCCATGCCTAGTCTGTACAGTGTCACAAAAGTATTTGACCTGGACAGACTCCAGCTGATAATGTTGGGATGTCTCTTTGACGTTTATCCCCGGGCCACACGAGTTATATAACAGAGTTTTCATTGCAGCCGAGCAGCTCGACGTCTGTATTGACTGCATTTCTCAGCCACTCCAATAAATCAAACACTGAACATGTAGAGCTCGCTCAGCCTCAGTGAATCATAATTCATCAAACTGTGCTGAGTTTAGTGGTTATTTTAGATGAGAGGTTTCCTATAAATGAGGGAGTTGTCTCCACGCGGTGTAATTTACACATGATGTATGAGCATATTTAGAGGACTACAGGAGGGTCGTGTTTTTTAAAATCTACTTGCTGTACATTTCTAAGTTTTATATAAAGTGTCATAAGAATATAATATGCCAAAGATAAACTGTCTAAGAAATTCAAATGTATGTTTAAACATATCACCACACGTCACATACTTACTGGCACAGTGGAAAAGACAATGTACACTGTAAAACTGTCAAGTTTGCCCAACAATACAGCAGGATGACACCTTTCAGTTAATTGTACGGGGCTGGGAGGGAACATAATCATCTCCATTTTCTGCACAAAGACGATAAAAAGATAGGGTAACACTTTACAATAACCGTAATTTATAAATGGTAAAAAGATAGTTTATTAATGTTTAATCATCATATAAAAACAGCGTATAGACCAATTATAAATGGCAAATAGATAGTTTATTAATGTAAGTTAATACTTCACCATTAATAAGCATAAATTATGATGAATAATTTTCATTAATTATTAATCAACTATTTATTAAAGGTTTATATAGGGTTTAAATGTTGGTTGTAAAACATCTAGATTAAAATATGCGTCAGTAGCACTTTGTAAATGGTTAATATTTGGTTTTTAAACCATCTATAAACATCACTTAGATGGTTATTGTAAAGTTGCAACTGATGTTTGTAGCACTTTGTAAATGATTAATAAGCGGTTTATAAACCACCTATAAACATTACTTAAATGGTTACTGTAAAGTTAAGATTAGGGTAAAATGTACAATTTATTAATGGTCTACATGCTATTTATAAATGCTGATTAAACATTAATAAACTATCTGCATACCTTTTATAAGTGGTCTATTTACCATTTATAAGTTATGGTTGTTGTAAAGTGTTACCAAAGATTGATTTGTTCCAAAATCATGCTTACTTCTGCTGTATCATGCATTTATTGGTACTTTTTAGTTGGTTGCATGCAATGTGGATATTTGAGAGAGGCGTCAACAATAAATAGTACAAAACTTTGAGAGTGGTTTCCAAAAATTATGTAATTTAAACACCTCCCTTCATATAGTACTTTCACACTGACTCCAGCTCTCTGTCTAAACTCTCAACTCTGCAGCCTGTCTGTGCTCGTATGGATCTGATTGCGTAACAGCAACATTTACGGGCTGTTTAATGCAAGTTATTTGTTTTCCTGAGAGTCTTTTTCTTGCATTCATTAAAAATAATTGTGTTTTTTAACCTGAGCACGCCACAGACTGGCACCTCCCGTGAGTCGCAGCCCCTGCATACCAAAGAGGGACGACTCCTGTTTACCTCAGCCCGACGGCAGACTGACTGAGGGTCCTCTCCTCCTTTTTTCTTCTGTGGTTTCTGGCAGCCAGCACCGGATTCCTCTGTGTCTATCACTGCAATCAGCAGGCCAGACCTGCAGCCAGCCAAGCAGCTTGAGACAAAGCAGCATGAACGGCTGAGCACAGAGGAGGTGAAGCGTTTCTGACTGGATACTTAGAGGAAGACTCACTCTTTCTATCGGCTTTATCAGATTTTACAGTTTGTACTCGGACGGTCCTTCTCTTTCTTGATATGCCAACTCCTTTCCTGCTGTCTGGAGAAGCATAACTCACTATACAACTTTATAACACTGCTCTCAAAAACATGAGTATATTTTCTCCATGCTCTGTGTGATTTACGATTGGCTCCTGAGCTGATTCATCACAGACTAAATAAAAACGTCCACCAACCTCAAATTGTGTTACTACCCCTCTCCTCCCCCTCCTTTCTCCTTCTCTGGCCCATAATCATAAAACCAAACTACGTGCTGATTCGCTAAATGTCTTATTTAAACGGCAGAGGGTGTAAAGCATCCAGAAAATAAGAGTGTCGGTTAAAAATGCATGTAATGCAGAGACATGTTTACTGAGGAATGATAAATAGCGATGATTTTCACTGGCACCATCAGAGTGCTTTTCTTGGACCAAAGCTTTACCTTCTGTGATTATTTGGACTACACTAAATCAAACCAAAACCTCTAAAGAAACAGCAGAGAAACATACGAGCAGCAGAGAAACAAGGTGGAGTTTTTCTCTTTGACCTGCGACAAATAACAGTAAATCTTATGAATTTTTGGACGGCTGTAAAGAAAAAAAAGGTTTAGTGTGGAAGCACAGCTCTCAAACTGAAGTGATTTTAAAGCTTTCAGTATAGTTAGATGGTGAAAACCAGTTTAAGATCAGTTCTGTTTGTTTGATCATCTTCATATATTCCACAAGGAGCAGTTTTTCATACATTTGTATTGAGTATAAACGGCAATAATTCAACAACAATTTTATTTTGTAGGGAAAAGATGAAAATGTGATCAGATCTTAAATGATGACTGAATACAAAACAATAGATGAAATACTTAACAACTTGTTTCAAAGCAACACATGCTTTTTTATACAGACATTTAAAATCCAACTGATCATCTCGTCTTAAGAAAACATGAAGAAAAAGAGCAGTGTCGTAAAATCAACTTGGTTTGCCTAGTGTGGCTAACACTAGTAAAGCTAGCACCACCAGCGTTATGTCCACATGTCGTTGCTGCCTACGCACTATAAACCATGACCTCGATGCATTTTTTTCTTTCTCTATTTCCTCTAACCAAACACCATCAAACCATTCCATACCATGAGATTTCCACCTGTGCCTGTTTACATTTGGGTAGTAGAGTATTAAAACATAAGGACATTCACTGGTAACCACAGCTGAAGCCTCCTCTAGAGGCAGGTGGCTGTACTACAACTTAAACAAAACATTTGACGACATTCCAAATACATTAATACCAATGTTTATAACTTGTTTAACCGCCCAGTTATTCTAGTAAGAACTAGCAAGAGTTACTACTACAGTGTCATGCTTGTTTTACCGTCACTCAGACAGGAAAACCTCACTGAAACCTGACCTGAGAGCTGCAGTATGACAGACTGACTTCATGACTACAACAGCCCACTGAACTCACCTCGTAATCATTTGGGACAGTTTACAAAACACAGTCCATACCAATGGCAAAAGTAGAAAATCCAATTCTAATCTTCGGGTTATTATAAGCTAATGTATAAACTCGCATGTTTTGTCTTCAGCTGATGTGGTAGACTAAAAAAAACACACACAAAAAGAAAGAGAGAAAAACTGAAAACCAGATCATCTGAATTTGGTTTCTAAATAATACTGCTGTTGATTTCATCACAACATGCCACAGCAACCGGCTAGTTTAAAATACCCTGGATTTAACTAAGCCTGGTATTAAATCAAAGCTTTTACGACCATAAAAAAGCATGCGCAGCTGCAGTGATGTGGCACTTTTATTGGCTTTGTTGAAGTTTTACAGTCACAAAACAAAACATGGCTGAGCACCACGCCAGATTTATTAATATGGCTAAAATGATCGGATGTAGATGGAAATCAAGAGGCTAAAAAGCATGCCGTTAAAAAATGAACAAATGAAAAGCAGTGATGAAATGTGACAGACTATTTTTTTAGTTGAGATCCCAATTTATTTCTCCCTCGATGTGGATCATTTCATCCAAAAATTGGAAGTACTTTAGAGAGGATTAACTCTGTAGATATTCTTTATTTAACATGTTTAATTTGGCAGCTACTAAGTCGAGTTGATATCACTGTTTTTTTTGTTCGCCATCATTTCTTTGACTTTAATCCTGACATTAAAACGAATTATATTTGATGTGTCGAAATAAAAAGCAGTATCATTTTTGAGCAGTTCACTTGGAGGTCATTACTTTAAAATGTCATATTTATATGCTCTTTTGGTTCCACGTATGATCGAGTATATAATCTTCTCACCTTATTTTCTTCAAATGTCTTACTCCGCCCGAGGACACACTTCAGACTGTGGTTTTCTGCACGCTTGATTTTAAGCTGTAATTATCAAATGAACCAAGATTGACATCATGCTTCGGTACATGTTGACACCAAGGAAGAAAAAAAAAAATGTTGTTTTTAGATA